CAGATGGCTGCAGAATTAACCATTTCAGCTGTACCTCAGTTGTTGAGCTTAGTCTTGAGAGCAGAGATACAGGTGCTGTACAACTTAAAAGTAGATTGTCAAGTCTTTAAGCAGTTTGAAGGTTATCAATTTTTCTCCAGTTTTGTTTTGGCTTTTTTATTGTTTTGTCAGTAAAAGGACACCGTTGTATTAAATCTCTTTGTAAAACATGTTCTTGCCAGCAGTAAATAATGAAGATTCTGCTTTATTAGTTGAAGTCTATCCCATAATTCTGTTACCAGGAATTACTGAAATATTTGACAGATACCAAGAGTGAACCTCAGCCTTCCAGTTAAAAAGACTTTGCAGAAAATAAACTTTATTAGGCATGCAGCATTTATTTGTACAAGTGAATGCTGTGCTGCTGTAAGCTAAACCACAGGGTAGCATTTCACTGAACTCACCAAATACATTCAAACAATGGTATATTTCAAATTAGGGTGCGTTATGATACCAGACTTAATCATTAAGTACCATCAAGGAACAGATGGCAAGGGAGGACACAACTGGTTTGCAGTCTGCATAGATTTAAGCATGAGGCCATTAAGCTATCACATTCCCATTTCTGATAGATTTTGGTCAATGAAAAATTAAAGGCACATAATCCCTGATTATATGAAGTCTCAATCTGTGATTCATGACACTGGTAGTATTTCAAAATCACTGAAGTTCTCTCTGTAATCAGGAGTTTTTAAACTAATGCATTATTGGGATAGATGCTCCTGTCTGGTTTTATTGCTATTGAAATTAATGTATCTTGTCATAAGTAGGTTGCTCTTAAATGTAAAATTGCTTAAGGGTATCTTTTACCGCTCTGCTTCCTATCGACTTCTAGACAGATTTGCCCTATTTTGCTGGGCTGTTTGCCACTGAAGCAGCTCAGTATCCCCACCTCATAAAAGGAGCAGTTCAGAGCATGGATGGCCTTAAAAATGTTTATAGTAGCCATCAGAATCTTAGGGTTTTAAAAAGCTGCTTTTTAAAGCTGTGCCTTAAATTGGTTCTAAATAGGCCTTTTTATCTTCAAAATTATTTAATTTCCATCCTGTATTTCCACTAGTTTATTTGAGTGTCATTAAACCTAATGTATTCTAATAAACATAATTGTTTTGCGTTAATAAAGATATTATCATTATAAACATTTTACTGGTCATAAAAATTCAACAGTTCAACATATGTGTACAAGTACTTCATTAAAATCTTTAATAAATTAGTTTTCAAGAACTGTAAACGAGTTTAAAGATGCTCTCAGAAGGTTTTGACAGTTCATGTTTAGAATTTTCTCTTTCTGGATGAGAAATAGTTAGACATCAGGCTTCATGCTTAGTAAAAAATATTAGTATGCCATGACTTGGACCAGCCTGAAAAATATAGTTCTACAAAAAAACATAAAATGGAAATGTTATAGCCAGCAACCTGCTATATTATTTTCTCTTTGAGAGGGACAAATTAAGACATCAATAAGATGATGAACTATACTGACTAAATAAATGTTTAAAATGCTTTTTAGTGGATTAAGGAGACTGATGAACGTTCAGGTTGGAGTCCTTGAGAAAATGAGAGCTGGTTATCAGTATTGGTAGTGAAGGTGGGTTTAGTTATTTTTTTAAATAAGGAATCCCCTGTTCAAGGACCTACTCATGGTCCTTTCATAGCAGTGGTGTGAGGAGGGATCTGTCAGGTCTTTGCTTGGCTGTTCCATACACAAACCTGACAGTTCTAACACAATCTGAAAGGTAGAAATAAATCAGTGGCTGAAGATTAGGGAGCTGTGCTAAACACCAGCACAGAGGCTGCTTGGTGGAAGAATCCCTCAGTTTTCAACACTGACTTTTCAGCACAGGGGTCATTTTAGTAGGTAGCCTATAAACAGTCTGTGTTTGTAATCATTTAATGACATGATGTGGTTAGAAAGATCTCAATTACTGTAGCACAGTGAAGGTGAAGTCCTGTCTGCCCTGGAAGGTGCGGAGAGCAGGATTTCACTCTGGGAAGCATTGGAAATAAATTTCTGTCCAAGTCACTCATCCTAGTCATGGCTAGCATGTATTAATTGAGAATGTGAAAGACAGCTGACCTCCCATGGTTGAAGAATAATGAGCCAAGAGGACATTCATTACCAAAAAACCAGAAAAAGGAATCTGCTACCAATAGTGAGTTATTGAGGGTGCACATTTAATTAAATTAAAAATGACTGGTAGAGATTTGTAGTGTTAGTAATGATATCTCACTAGCTTGCTTTTATTGAACCTTAAAAACAGTGGGTTAAACTTCTTGTTACCACTACAAACTTTTGAAGTTCTGCTGAAAAATGTTGAGGGAACTTGGCGTTTGATGTTTCTGTTGGACCCTTTGCCAAAATCTTTTTGGAAGAGTTTAAAATTACTAAAATGAGTTTTTTTTGTGCACCAGGTTGTCCTAAGGCTGATATTCTGATTTTAATTGTTGATCATCTGCAGTAGCAGAGCATCTTGAAACTGGACAGTGGAATTTTTCCAAGTGGTAAAAACACACTTGCAGAGCACATCTGTGACCCAAGTTTTCCCAGCAAAAATGCCCAGTCTCAGTAAACTGCTTCCTGCAATTTAAGCCAACAACAGAAAGCCAAAATAAAACAAAACCCCAACTTTGTTTCAAGCTACAGGCATGAATCATTTTGGCACTAAGCAGTTCAGCTTGTCATAGAGGGAGGTGAGGTTGGTTGTTAAAGCAGCCCAAACCTTTGCTGCTGGCTGGGCTGATCCCCTGGTGTCATGAAGATCCAGTGCTATGCAAATGTTAAAGTTTTGTTCATCCAGGATCAATCTCAATATCCTAATACAGCTTTAGAAATGAGAAAATGGAAAGCCTGAGCTTTTATGACGTTTGTGTTTTGAGTTCTTGTGGTTGCACACTAATTTTGGTGTTGATGCTAAAATAAGAGCTGGCACAATATCCAGGAAACCCCTGTGCCCTGTTTTGAGAGCTCTAAAGGGAGAGGCATCTGAAATGTGTGGCTGTAGAAATGCTGCTGAAGATAATGAAAAAGCCCAGAGATAATCCCATGGTCATTAAGATTAAAGATGAAGATTAAGGGCCCAAATCGGCCTTTTGGAGATATGCATGTAGAAATAGGAGACTTCAGCTGATCTCTGTAGGTCAGCAGGATTTATTGTGGATTTTCTCTTGTGATTTCAACAAATTTGAATGAATTCACTGTGGAAATGAGTCCAGTTCTGTGCATCTGCAAAGCATAATTATTTTTAGCCCATTTAGTTGCTTTTACAGCTACAGGTTGGCTGAACTAATAAACCCAAGGTCACATCTTAGTCACATGGTTTGGCTAATATGTTCTAAAATGTATTTTAATGGTTTGTAATATTTTTAGGAACATGGTGATGAGCATTTAGGAATGAGGCAATTACCCCTGTCCTAATTTTCCTAGATATTTATAATAATAAATACAGAAAAAAGATACTGTGCCTACTGCTTTTCTTTTAGAAATGTCTGTGTGTTGAAGGTGCATTTTTATATGACCTGACTTCCTTTCCCTGCAGTTATTCCTATTATTTCTGTTTGTGCTTACAAGACAGGAAATGCTGATTGCAATAAACCAAAGAAAAGACATAAATGTATCTTTAAAAAAAGTCTAATATGCTAAAAGTTAAGCAAGCTGTAAAAGGCAAATAAAGTTTGTGTAGGTAACATATATAAATGAAAAATATGTCATTTTTGTACAGAGAGTATAATCAAAGGGATAAATTCCATCAGAGTAAGTCATGATACCGCAATAATCAGGTCATTTTTGTTTTATAGCAAATAATTCCTCTTTCTGCATTTGATTCTGACTCTAATCCTTTGCCTGTGAGTTATTGAATTCCATTACTTTTGCACATTACCAGGATCATTCCCCATTGCTATAGTGTTTTTTTTGAAGGTTTTTTGGTTTTGTTTTTTTCCTCCGAAAGTTCGCCAGTGGCTGTTCTGGAAAGTGTATTCTGTATTCCATTGTTTAAATCATTAATGACAGTGTTGAATAAAACCAGAGCCAGCAGACACATAGCCCTGCAGGGAGCCCTGGTTTGACAGGGAAAAGTTGGTAGTTTGTTTTTGAGTGCAGCATCCCAGCCAGCTCTCATTTATCTAATAATAATAATAATAATAATAATATCATTAAGATGTACAAGAATAGCATTACATATCAAAAGCTGCGTTGTGCAACTGTATCAAGAATCTGTAAAAGTGAGAAACTTCACATTTGCCGTCCCTCAGGAATTCTTTAAACATTTCAGAGAGTTTTATGGGGGGTACTTTGGTTCTGGATGGTTTTCCATGAGAAATCCCAGTGAATGGTTGTCATGCTGTCCTGTGTGTGTGTTACGAGGTATTGAAAAAGGGTGACTCATCTGCATTTCCTCAGATCCTTTCTGCTTTGGGAAGTAAAAAGTGATTGATTTCCTCCCTGAAGCCAAGACAAACCAGAGAAAAATCTGGTTGTATATGATAATACATGACAAAAACTCCGATTAATAATATCTTTGTTGACACATTTCAACAATCTGTAAATATATTTAAAACAGTCAGTGTGTGTTAGCACGATGTGTTTTATATTCATCATTCTTCTAAAAGTTAAAAATTGCATTTTGTTCCTTGTGCCTCATGGTAGTGAAATGCCATCATACAGCCACAAAATCTTTCCTGTCAGACCCATTCCTTGGGAATTCTGCTGGGTGCTCCCAGTTTCAGGCTGCATTGATGGCAGACAAGAATGTGGGGCTGGCTGGCTGTGTCAGAGACACGTTTCAAGTTCTTTCCATCTTCCACAACTCCTTAATGATTTGTGGAGGGAAAAACAAGGTATGGTAATCAAGACAAGGGATGGCTGTGCTGGCACATTAACTATCCCATTTGTTTTATAGAGAAAGCCTTAAAGATTAATGTTCACCATGTTTAAGGTATTCTTCTTTCTTTTCTTTTTGCAGCAATCCAAAGTCTGCTAATCAGAGGATAAACAAAAAAGTAAACAATGATGCATCATTAAGGATTCAAAATTTGTCCATTTTGGTGAAACAAATTAAAACTTACTACCAGGTCAGTAATTGTTTGTTGTGTTTTGCCTGGAATTATTTCTAAATTTTCTTCTATTGTTACAGTTTTAAGGGTAACAGGAATAAAATCAACAAGAGCTATTTGTATGGATGATTGTTTAGTTATATAGTGAGATATTTTGTCACTATTTACAGGTATAAAGGTGGTGTGGACGCACTTATATGAATGATGATCTGTTTATAAAATAGATATTCTGTGTGTTCAGTTATTCCTGTGGTGCATTAAATATTATTGGTTGGTATTTTCTGAGTTGAAGCAAGTTTTGTGCCAGTGGGAGAGATTATTACATGTGCATTTAGTCTTGTAAATGGAATTTTTGTTAGAAAAAGGTGATGCAATTTACTGGGCTTAGAATTAATTTGGGAATTTGTAGTAAATGCAGTGAGGAGGATCTAAGAGCTGTAAAAGAGCCACTGGAGTTTGATGCAGCAGTAGGAGCTGTGCCTGCTGGATGCTCAGCTGGAGAGGACATGGACACGCCACAGCTGGGCACTGCAGCTGCCACCAGTGTCCCTTTAGCGTGGCTTTTAGTGCCCTTCATACTCCCATGCTCCTTCCTGCCAGGAGAACCCACACCTGGGAGAAAACTTTTGCTCTGCCTCTCCCTGGCCAGCCTGTGCTGAAGTCTGCTGCTCCTCCCGTGTCCACACGCAGTGTGCGCTTCCCAAAACTCCGAGCGCAGTGAGAATTCCATGCTTCTCCCCAGCACTTCCCTCTCTCCTTGGCAACCCCTGCACATGGATATATGTGCTGCCTGCTAAGGCCCATATGCTTTTCCTTTTCCTAGTGGAAGTCATTTTCCACCAGGCATTAGCGCTCCACAGCGGGTGCAGCAGAAGGCACTGACAGGATTGATCTTTATTGGAACACAAAGCATTCCCCATCCTGCACTGGCCTCACCCTAGCACCAGTCCAAGTGCTCCAGTACCAGGCAGAATTGCTGGCATTTAGGTACCTTTGGATGATTCAGGATTGTGGATGTTGCTCCAATCCTTTGTGATAGAAATAAGTTTATTAGAGCTTTTTTAAAATAAAAAAGTACTAATTTTTAAGAAATGAAAGCAGCCACCATGCCTTTAATGGTCCAGCTGCCCTTTTAACTATTTTATACACTTGTCTCCCCTTTCCTTCCCCAGTTTTTCAGGGTTTTGGTCACCATGCAAACATTGAAGAGCTGGAGTAAAGGCCTTTACTCTCCAAACTGGAGAGCTCCTTTGAATCTAATATTGCTTTTTGCATGTGTAGCTATTCACTCCCTACAGTGCAGGGAGGTTTGTGCTTTGTGGTGGTTGAAGAGTTAAAGGATGGGCTGTTTCACAGAGGGGTCAGTTGAGTTCCTCTCACCTGTGAAATTCCCTAAGGCAGGAAAGCTGGGGCTTGATGGATGTATTGGAATCAAACTGAGAGGCCGCCCTTAGCCTGGGGTGAGGCAGGAGCCTCACACCCTAGTGCTCCTGAAAGCTGAGGGGACAGGCCTGGGGGTGTTCCCTGGGGAATCCCAGGGGAGGGGACAGGAGAGAGGATTTTACTGAGTGTTAGACACTGATGAATGTGGGAATTTGGAATTTTTAGCATTGTTTTAATGTAACTCTTAACACTTCTCATTGTGAGCTTGTCTGTGCTGGTTTGTTCCCTGTGGTTCTATAACATCTGGGGAAAACCTTTTCTCGGTTTAGTGAAAAATTGCATCAGTGCTGTGGATGTGCTTGTCAAAAAAACCTGCACTAGTAGAATATAACAGTCAAAATCAAGGTGTTACATTAGATTAGCCAATATTTTTTTGTTCCTGCATCATCATTGTTATTCTCTGGAATTACAGTTCTGGTCCTGAACCAGTAATCTGAGTATGTACATTTCTTGGCAGTGTAAGAGTGTGGAACTGTTCTCAGCAGTTAATTTCAGATAAGTGATTCCAAATTTTTGAGAAATTTTGGGCTCGAGAGATTTAATCCAGTGAGTGTCCATGACTCTCAGCAGATTTGACTGAGGATGTGAAAATCTTCAGTAAAATAAATGCTAATGAACTGGAAAAGTTTGTGCAAGCCAAGCCAGTGCTGAGGTTAACACCAAGTGACAGAAAAGGTGTCAGGCATCTCTGGGGCGAGGCAGAGGTGTTGTAAGGAAACAGGTGATCATGTCCATTCAAGAGTCATATCTTGGTTACTGCTGCTCATATTCTGCTTTGATACATGATCAGCCTTATGATAGCATCATGGAATTATTTGTGATACTACCAAAAAACACCCCCAAAAAACAACAGAAAGCCACTTGAAAAATATGTGATTTTCTCTCATAGCAGCTGTTGATACTCATTAAATTAATTCTATTTTATTGGTTTCATATTGATTTAAAACATCCTGTGGTGCACTTCATATCTTATTTTATTTGAACATAATCTTTTTCAAAGTCTGAGAAGTACAGGTGTCACAGTTGGTAGAATTTCATGATATATGAGGAGGTCAAAGCTGTTTTCTCCCTCCTTACAGTTTGTCTTAGGTGTGTCCAGAGAGAATTTATATTTTGCTGTCTACTGTTAATTCAGATATAATTTTGATGTCGAATATTAACTGGTGGGAACTTCCAAGTGTAGCTGTAGCCAATAAATTCTACAGGTATTTTTCAAGAAATATTGGGTTTTTTTTCAATTTGACCTAAAGCAAGTGGTTGTTGCTTACATTGTGACACCTGATGTGTGCCTTGGGCTGTTCTGGAATATGTTGCTTTTGAGTAGGAGCATTTTCTGTAGTAATGGATCTGTCACTGTGGAAAAATAAGAAGCCTGACTATAGGATGGCATCTGCTGGGAATAAACATCTGGGAACAGGAGAAATACTTTTTCAGGAGAATTAGGCTCTGTCTAGACTGGGGATTTGACCCGATTACAGCCATTACAGGAGCTCCATTGATGGAATCCATGGAACAGATAGGCAGAGCTGCTGCCAGGAGTGTGGCACTTCCAAGCTAAAATTCCATGTGGTTGTGCAGACAGGGGTTTGCACCTTTATATTCACAGCTGGCCCAGTGTCACTGCAGCAAAAACCTCCTGGGATCTTCACATCCACGTTTTGGTGAGGCCAAAGAAACCATGACAGAAAGGAAATTGAGTTTTTTGAAGTAGAAATGCACCTTAGAGCAAATAAAACCAATATGTATCGATAAGTTAGGGAAACATGAACATAATAAATGTAAAGGGTTTTGCTGCATTCTGAGACTCAGGATCTCATTGGCTTAAGATTCCTAAGCCAGCTCATTGCCACGAGAGGATTTTGCTGTGTGAGATGATTGTGCAAACCAGTAAAACAAAGGTTCTATAGAAGTAACTCACATTTGTAAGTTATTTTTTTTAATTATAAGGCAAATAATTAAGTAGTGTACGAATTGTATCTATGAAGTCCTAAAAAATATTAAAACTGTTTAATTAATACTGATTTCTCTTCAGTGGTTCTTGGTATTTGATGTTTGCTTTCATTCAGTATGTATGATGTAAATAATGTTTTAATTAACTTTTATAGGAGACTTTGCAGCAGTTGATCATGATGTCTTTGCCAAATGTGCTAATAATTGGCAAAAATCCTTTTTCTGGTAAGTTTATTTTTGACCAAGATAAAAAATGTATACTGGTGTGATAATTTATATTATTTCACTGGAAATAAAATTCCTGTAGGGCTGAGCCTTTCAACAGAAGGTTGTGTAAATACTTTATTAAATAAGTGGCTTAATGAGTAGTGATTTAACAGTGATTTTCTTTGTCCACGCTCTAAAAAATGTGTTCTGTCCCTCAGCCCTAGCTCTCAGTAGGATTTTTACTGAGCCCAAGTGCATTTCCCAGCATCCAGTGAACCACTGATGGCACAAAGTTAAAGTTTCATGTACTCCCAGCTACTGCACTTTCAACTTTCTTTACCTGTGTCACCGCTGAGGGAATTGGCAGTTCAGTGCATCTCACTTGATCCAGCTCCTGATCCTTGTTTCTCCTTCCCCCAAACTCCCCTGCTTCTCTTGCATCCTTACCTGAAAAATACTGCACTTACCTTCTTGTTTTCTCCCCTGAACTGACACTGTCTTCTCCATGCTCCCACCTTCTCTGCTTCCAGCTCTGAGAGTTGCAATTTTCAGACCAAGAAAATTAGCCTGTGTGGAGCCAGCTGACTATCCACAGCCTCTTGGGAATCTCTGCACCATGCTCTCAATTCCAGAAGCACGGAGCAGACACACCTGGCCTGCATGGAGCCACTATGGATTGGGCAGAGTTTATTTACTTGGGTCTAATGTGCCCCAGGTGTTCTCCTCCTGACGTTCTGACACCTCAGCAGAGAGGTCAGGAACTGCTCTGACAGGCTGTGTGGCTTCCCCTGGCTGTTTTTATTTCTTTGGGATGTCTTCTCTGCCACGCTTCCGTGTCTGTGGGACAGGGGGTTCCTCATGAGCCAGAAGAACCATCTGTGTTTCCTCACTTCCTGATCCCAGGGCTCATAACATTGGTATTTTCCATATTCCATCTGCACATATCCCATCTCTGTAGGTATCTTGCTTTTAATTCTTTTGGGTTTTACTTTCTGCTTTTGGATATTGCTGCTTTTGCTTCCGAGGTCACAGCTTTTTCAGTTTTCATATGTGCAGCTGCTGTCATATGCACCAAGAAATGTGAATGTGGTCTCTTCCTTTCCAAAGGAACAGAATGCATCGTGCTTTTATAATTTTGATTCCAGACTTTCTTAAGGTTTTCAAAAGACTGAAAGGATTTGCCTAGAAACCAGATTTACTGGAAAAACAGATTTTAAAAAAACCCCAGGTCATAGTATTGTTTTGTAGTGACATTTTTTCTTCTGTTCAAGATACTGAGAGAAAATGTCTTAACAATATTGTGTAGTATAAGATGACATTTTATTGATAATGTACTATCAAACCCCAGAGAGATAATACTGCATTCAGTTGTATACATTCAATTTTATTGGTCATTTTTAAGGAGATGTCTTTATGTTTTGGGATCTGTGGTTTGGCAGCTCTGTGGGTGTGTGCTTTGGTCTTCTCCAGGGATTTTGTTGGATTTGTGAGAAAATTTGGACTTTCTTGTAGTGTAGCCTTCACGTGAAAAGAAAATAAATTGTTATGCTTGGACAAGGTTCTTGAAGGTGTTTCAGCTGCCTGCTGGAGTTCAATCACAGAGTTTGGTTTGAACTAGAATATAGACCTGTTTTTTTGGGTTCTGTCCAGAACCTTTCTCCTATGAAAGTTAGGACTTCTCTTAATGTGTCAGCTTAGAAAAATGATCTCATCCCTACATGGATTTTTAAGCTGTTTTTGGGCAGGTGCAGGGAAATGAAACCTCAGTGACTTTGGAGACACTTGCTGTGTAAATCTGGTTGCATCAAGGCAAGCCCTGGAGTAAAAGTCAATCCCTGATAAAGACTTGGATTTGGTCCACTAAAGCTTAGGCTGGAGGTGTGATTTTTCACAGGGATGTCTCCCAGATTTTCCCCTTTACACTTAAGGAATGATTAGGAGAGAAATCCCAGAAGATGCCAAATTGCAGATGGCAGGAGCAGATTCCAGAGGCAGTTGGCTCATGGAGGAAAATGCAGGGAGAAGGCTGGAGCTGAGGTTTGGTAAAACAGGTCAGCAGGGATTTTATCAGGAAATATTTCCTGAGCTGATTGGCTGGAAAGGCAGTTAGAGGAGAAAACTGGAGGAGGGCTACAGCCTGTGACTGTAAATATTAAATTAAATTACAAAGGGATAATGATGAGGCAAAGGGGAAAGATTAAAAGCAAGTTCATATAGGAGGCAGCAAGGCAGGGGAGGATGGAAGCCTGCAGAGGGTGTGAAAGTCAGGGATTGGGGTGAACACCGGCAGGATCAAACAGTGGCACAGGGTGGGGACAAAGTTCAGCAGCAGGTTGAAGGGTGTAGAAGAGAATCATCTATTTCTGTATTTCTGATGGAGGAAAAGGAAGAAAAACAGAAGATGAGGGAAGCTGAGATGGTTCAGTATTTTGCCCTGTTCCTTCAGGGAACGTGGGAGAGAGACAAGGAATCAGTATTCAGGCAGGTGTTTGAAAGGCAGTCAGGAGATGAAGAGTGAAGAGGAGCTCAGGGATTGCTTAAAAATGAAAAAGGTGTGATTAATTTATTTGGATAAGTGAATGTAGGCTATGAGCTGTTGGCATGGATTCATCCTGTTGCAGTATTCCTGTTAACCTGTATTGATAAGACAGACAGCCAGGTGGAATTCCCCTTCTTCAGCTGAAGCAGCTTCTGGTGAAACACATTCCTTGATGCTTTTTCTATTTCTCCATAAAAGACTTCACAGCTCGAGCCTTTGGGATACAAGAAATCTGAATTAATGATTAAATATCTCCCATTTGATACTATGTTTTTTGTAATGTATTTATCTACCTGAAAAACCTCTTGAAAAATTGCAATATTCCATGTTCATTGGGATTATACACATTATGTAGCTCCCTCCAAAAGCAGCAGCTTGAGTCAATGCCTAAACTGTTTTGTCATCCTTGAAGCATTTGCTTCATGGCATTTATGTTCTAGATATAAAATATATTTCTATATTTAGTAGCAAGATGAGGACACTGTGAACATAAAAAGTAAGAAACATATTTATTAATCTGTAAACAGAGTTCTTTAACTTAAGCTTCTTTAGGAGATTAAGATGCTTAAGGCCAGATTTGGAAACACATTTTGATTTTTTGGATGTGCAGATGAAGATCTAACATGGCTTTGTAAGGTGAACTTGTCACCTAAACTCTTCCATCTTGGGAGAGACAGATAATTTAAGCAGTTTTGTAACTATCTTGAGATACCTGAGATTACCATTGAAAACTTGATTGAAGGTCTCCAAAGCTTTTCTAAAAATGCCACTCTGAAGTTTTGCTTTTTGAAGGGCTGAATTTTTTTAAATTGTTATTTAGGCTGTTAAGGTGTTTGGTACCTCTGGGAGTCAGCAGTTAAATGGCAAAAAGGATTGAGCTGAAAGCTCATCTGGTTGTTTTAAAACTAGCTTAACATAAATGACATGGAAATAACGAGAAAACTTCATGTTTTCTGAGGTATAGGGGAAGAAACTAATTATAATTTTACAGTTACCATTTTTTCTCATTTTCTTCTTAGAGCCAGGTACTGAAGAAGTAAAAAAGCTTCTCCTCCTTTTGCTTGGTTGTGCAGTTCAGGTGAGTTTAATTATGTTTGTCTCTATGAATCTTTTGAGTTATTGATTTCTTTTCTTACTATTTTAGTACTTGGGATGGTATAAAACTTCTTCCTTTGGTGGTACAATTGCATTCCTTGAAAAGTTGGAATATTCTGATTTTTAATTAAATGGCTACAACCCTATACCTGTTATTGCACAAATACCTCCAATACTATCATAACCTTCAAATGGGTTATTAATTTCAATAATGCTAATTTACCTGATATTGTAAAGAAAGGAAGGAAATGGTAAATGACTGAATATTAACTGACTGCACTATTTCATAAATTTAATAAATATTTAATAAATTCGATTTATTTATTTTATAATAATAATTTTATAATAATTTATTTTATTTCAAATTTATTTAATAAATTCAAATAAATAGCAATATTCCATGTTCATCATTCACTAAATTTGAATAAGTAGCAATTTTAAGAAACCTTTTCCTTGTCCCATTTCAACTTGTTTTTCCTTGTATCACTTAATTAGTTTTAAGAGCTGTAATTGCTGTAACGTGGCATAAACCACAGACTTATTTGGACCAGAATTATTGGATAACAGTTTAGCCATGTGGCCCTTGTAATGTCAGCTTTATAAGTTTTAGCTCTTAAGAAATACAAAAGAGGAATGAAAATATTTGTGATTGTACATAAAAATGTGTATAAAATAGATGTCTCTATTTTTAGTGTCAGAAAAAAGAAGAATTTATTGAAAGAATCCAAAGTCTGGATTTTGATACCAGAGCAGCTGTTGCAGCCCATATTCAGGAGGTATTTTGGGGGGTTTTTGCTTTTACTTTTGGGGATTTTTTGAGGTGGAATATTGTATTGCAGGAAGGGGAGTTGCACGTTTTCAATGGCAAGTAAATCACATACGTGATTTGCATATTGAGTGGTTGTAGTAAGCAAAAAAGGCTTTATTTTTTTCACTTGATTCACAAAAAGATTTCATGATTGAGCATTTTTGGGTTATATTTTTAGAGCAGTACCAGAAAGCAAATTTGTTGCTTCAAGGATTTCTTAGTTACATACAGCAAATTTAGTTTAGTGAAATCTTTATATGCAAATTTCTTTATAAAATATAATTCCAGTATGTGGTAGGTAATTTATAATATTATTGTCACCTTGCCAGAAGGACAAGTTGCTGCTTCCAGGTAGACAAAAAACTCTTCCTTTACATACAGTTAAATATATTTTAAATATTTTTTCACCCTAGTCCAGAGAATTTAACCTGTAGAGTGACAGCTTTATATTTCTTTATGCTTCCTTTCTACTCTTAAAATTTCAAGAGGATGTTTCTTCTCTTTCATTTCACCCCATGTAGGTAACTCATAATCAGGAAAATGTGTTTGACCTGCAGTGGATGGATGTCATTGTGCTGACACAAGAGTATGTTGAGCCTCTCCTGAAAAATATGGCATTGCATTTAAAAAGACTTATAGATGAAAGAGATGAGCACTCAGAGGTATGGTGTGGGTTGGTGCTGAAGAGAAATACAAGAAATCTTTTTTATTTTTGATAAAATGCAAAGGATTTTTAGGATTTTCAGGATTTTTATAACTAACAGTTTAATTTCGTGCTGACATGTTAAAGCAAGGATTCCTGACTGCCAGAACATTGTTTCAAGGGGTTCTTTTGTGCACATTTGTTAACAAATGTACGAAAGATAAAGTAGGAATAAAGCAGGAAAGATAAGAGATGATCAATTCCACGTAGCCAGAGTGGGAAACAACTTCAGCATTGATCACTAGCTGAAAACAGTGAATCCAAAGCTGCATTTACCAGGAATCAATAACCCATCAATTTGCAGGCTAATCACTGGAAGCTGCCTGTTCTATTCCCATGTCCTATTGTCCAGGTTTGAGGGGGATAAAGCAGAATCCATACCAGGAGAGGAGCTTTTGCAGGCTTATCATGAGGCACAGTTGTTGTACTGTGTTAGAATCAAGGAACAGAACTGTATTTAATAAAAATTACGAGTTGTGAATCATCTTGGTGGTCCCAGATTTGCCCCTCAGTAGAGTGGATGTGTCAGTGTTGCAATTATTGCAGATATTCCTTTGACAGTTTTTCAGGATCACAGCCTTGATCAGAGTGAAACAGAGGGTAGAGGATGGTGCTGATGCCTTTGTGCAAAGCAAAGAAAAAGTACTTTAAACTACGAGATATGTTTGGCTAACACCTTTATTTATAGGGGGAAATAGGAATATTTCTGTAGATCTGATGCTTTATTCAGTTGTCAAGGATGCTGCTACTCGCTGAAGAACACATCTTTGTTTAGAGATACACGTTCATCTTTATTTTCGAGAAGTGGTGGTTTTCAACACACCTTTCATTGCCAGTCCATTCTGAGCACTGGTCATTTTGTGGCCTTAAAAGCCTAAAGTGAAAAATAAAATACAAAATAGCAGAAGGTCCTGTTCAAGAGCTGTGGTGCTTTGCTTTAGGTGTGAAGGTGCAGGTAGAGCTTTTGACTTGTTGGATGGCCAAAACTTTTCCATCGTTCTTGTGCCGTTGCGGTGTTTGTGTGGATGACACATCCAGAGGTGGCTCTGTGAGAGCCACTCTGAACTTTTTTCCTGTGCTCTGCCTCCCCAGACCATCATCGAGCTGTCGGAGGAGCGGGACTGTCTCCGTTTCCTGCCGCACGCGTCGGCGGCGCAGTCCCCGTGCGGCTCCCCCGGCATGAAGCGCACCGAGAGCCGGCAGCACCTGAGCGTGGAGCTCGCCGACGCCAAGGCCAAGATCAGGAGGCTTCGGCAGGAGCTGTGAGTACCAATTCACACTCAAATCCTTCCACACGCTGCCTCAGCGCACTTCTAGTCCTCTTCAGACCAGTTCTTCATCCTTTCAAATGCTTTTTTTAGTTATTGCTCCCCAGGAGGGGTATTTTTATCACGCAAGAAGATTTGTGGACCCATGGGACAAATACAACTTTTCATCTGTGTTTGCCTCTGTTTGTATTCATAATGATGTTTTGACCTAAATTTTTCACTCTGATGTCCCTGAAATGATGGATTAAAGGTGGAAGTCTCACAAATCTCAGTGTTTTGTTCTCAGACCAGGTGATCATTAAAAGGAGATGGTGCAGGAGTGATTCTCTCCCAGCAGCACAATTAGGTGACCTGTCTCCAACAAGAAATACTCATGGTGAATTCATGGTTTAAATTCATTGCAGAGAGGACAAAAAATTTCAATTAGAATGCTTTCCTGTCTCCCACCTCATTGTTCCTGTGTAAAAGATTTCTTGTCTGCACAACACTTACTTGCTACTGAAAACTGCTCCTGATTCTGTGGGTTTCTGTGGGCACTTTGTCTTCATAGTCAAGGAAAAAATCTGAGCAGAGTGAGGAGTTATTTAAAGAGAAGATCAATAACAGCCCTGTGGAGAATCTGCTTCTCCTTGTAGCAGTGTGTCAGTTGTTTTAGCAGAGGGAAGTGTGTGTGTTCTGAATGAAAATGCTCAATCTGAAGAGATTCAATATGTGTAGAAACAGCAAAAATAAAGATTTTTTTTTTAAATTCAACAATGGAAAGAGGAGACAGGTAAATTTAATCACAAGCTGAAGGTAGCATAAGTCACAATTCCCAGAGTTTGATCAGATCATTTCTAGCTGGCTGGATTAAGGATCTTGTTGATTTACTCCGAGGATCCCCTTCCCCCACTACAGCGTGGTCTTCATGAGGAACAGAGGACAAAAGATGGGGCTCTTTTTTCCTGATGTCTGTATTATGTGTCTCCTGCAATGAGCCCGCCCAGGATATTCTATAAACAGCTGCACCAAGAAAATTAGTGAAAAAATTGCTGTTATTAGTTTGATTGACAGTTAATAGATAGCCTAAACAGTGAACACTGGTATGTTCTGTATAATTTAGTCCAATCCTCTCCAGTCTGTAGCTGAAGCGTGCAATTAGGGCAACACTGATGGCTCAGAGCAGTCCACATTCTGCACTCTTATTTGAATTCAGTTGGTAAATAATTTTCCTTTATGTGTAGGAGTATCTTAAAATACCAGACTTGGATTGAATTAACTTCTGTCTGCAGCATTTAGTGTTAAATGCTGCATTTATTTGATAAATTTAAAATTACATTAATTCCAGAGTTGAAAATACTCAGCATAAAATTTATTTATAATCTGGTTTTGGCAGTGAACCTTCATACCTGGTTTAGTATGCAGTGTAGCTGATGTAATTTCATATAAAAGGTCTGTAAAGATTATTTTTCAGTTGGATGCAAACCAGGGAATACAGAAACTCCAAAACTGGAAATTGCACACCTCATTTTCTGAATGTTGAGTTCTGTGTTTTCCCATGTAGAGCAATAACAGGAATAAGGAAAAGTTACAGAAATCAGGAATAAATTTGTGTTTGTGCCTGGTTTCTGAGCACCTCTGGAGGGGGAAAGCTGTGACAGAGACGTTGCACTGAGCTGTGCAGAGCTGAGCCTCCTGTGCTTGTAGGCTCAGTGACCTTTTCCAAACAATCCTTTTCCAAAAAGATCATTCATGGTGAAATTGTCTCATCTTTAAAAACAGCTGCTCTAGTTTTGTTTAAAACAAACCTATTTTTTGTTGGCATGATTGCTTTGAGATAGTATTATACATTTCAGTCCGTTAAATTTTCTGATTTCCTCCTTTCCTATTTTTGTTTCTTCCTTCTGGAATGTGGAATAATACAGTAACACATCTGGATATGCAGTATAGATTTTAATATCATCAGGTTTTTCAGCAGTAAATACTGTTTGTTCTGAAGTGCAGTTGAATTTTGAACATCAGGTGTTCTTTGTCTGCAAGAGAATTAAATATTTCCTTTGCACATGCTCATGGTTTAACAAACTCATTTTTTGAGGCTAGGGAAATGAGTTGTGAGTTATAGAATGAGTCCTGTAAGAATTGTAGCATTCTTTGTCAGATTGCTTTTATCACAGGTTTCTGAGTAGACAAAAACAGACACTGCGTTGTTTCCATAAAATTAAAATTCATTGTGTGTTTCATGAAATTACTGAGCTTATTAAGCAGTATCTTCTTCAATTGAGTAAAGACACCTAAAACCCTTAATAATTCTTCTCTGCAAGAAAAGGAAAAATTACAGAACTATAAAAATGCTTTTAAAATTTGCCTTACTTCATTGTGACAAGGGGTCAGTGTCTGGTTCTCCTGGAAAGAATTTGGACCTTTTGGATGTGTAATTTGAAATTGTTCTGAGTTGACTTTTAGATGGGGATCTCCTTGTACACATTCATGTGTATTGTCTGTGGTTTTTTCCATAAAACCCCTTACTGCAAAAATTCTCTTATTACGCCCCATTTTCTACCCTACCTGAGTAGGAAACAACAAATTAAAGCATTATGAAAAGTCTAACAACATTTAAAATATTATTAGCTAAAGACTAAAACCAAAAGAATAACTAAGTTTTAATGGCAACTCTAAATTTTACCCTCTGATGTCCCTGAAATTGTGGGTTAAAGGTGGAAGCCTCACAAATCTCAGCATTTTATTGTCAAACCTGGTGATCATTAGCAGGTTCTGTGGCCATGTTGAACTGGTTTGTGTTTTCTCCTTCAAGTGAGGAAAAGACTGAGCAGCTGCTTGACTGTAAACAAGAACTGGAACAGATGGAATCTGAACTGAAGAGACTTCAGCAAGAGGTGTGGGTTTAATCATTTTATTCTTTTTTTAAAAGCTGCCACCACCAGAACAATTCACCACTCTTTATCTGATATTAAATATGTTTTCATGCTTTTTATTTTGCACTCTGAACCTGACCTTGTGTAATTCATTCCTTTGTAAATCATTTGATATATTATGATGGAGAAAAATGCCCTGACTTAGGTTAGTATTCCTTCTCTATTCTTTTTGTTTCTTCATTCAAGCAGTTTGCCACCAGTGCATCCTCTGAAAGGATCTTCTTAAAATGAAAGTGCTCCAATTTTGTCTGGTTTTTCTTTATACTTTGTGATATGAGGAGAAAAACCCTAAATACATATAAATATATATATAGATATACGATATCTATGTAATTACAGCAAGTCCTTGAAAAAGGCCAGTACAATTTCCTTGGAAATAAATCATCTACAATCCTCTCCAATATATTAGATTTTTTTCTTTTTGTTTCTCAGAACTACCTCTGTGCATTCCCTTAATTTAAGCAACGAAGGAGCTGTGTTACCCTTGAGCATGTTGTGTTGCTGTGTCTCCCTTTGTCCCAGAACATGAACCTGCTGTCGGACGCCCGCTCTGCCAGGGTGTACCGGGACGAGCTGGACGCGCTCCGGGAAAAGGCGATCCGTGTGGACAAGCTGGAGAGCGAAGTCAGCCGCTACAAAGAGAGGCTCCATGACATTGAGTTCTACAAAGCCAGGGTGGAGGTGAGGAAATCCAGGGGAAAAAAAAAACACCCAGAGCCCACCATTCTCCTCTTGGCTTTTTCAAAGTGGATTTGGAGATTTTAAAGGGTTGCAGCTTCTTGCTCTGGGATATGGCAGTCAGGTTTTGGTGACAAATTCCAGTTTTTGGGGAATTGTCTCCGTGTCTAATGGCATGGAAGTCAGCAGTGTTCACCAGAGCTCTAAGTTAGCAAGGCCAGTGGAAGCCTATGTGAAGGATGAATTGAGAAACCTAGAGAGGAATTAATTTAAAAAATGCTATAAATGTAATAATTCCTTCCTCCTTCTGTAGGATTCCTTATAATATAATAATTCCTTTCTCCTAAGGGAAAGCAATTTTCTAAGTGGAGTGCTGAGGAAATGAAGGCTGTTCACATAAATGAGTACAGGACAATGGCATAAAATACACTAAAAAAAGATGTACTGGCATCAGGGAAGGGGAACTTAGAGTTCTGGCATGAATTAGTAACTTAGGAGATAAATCAACATGCAGGAATTTATCAGGCCATCATTCTGTCTGTAAATGCCAAATTTGATGGGCAAGTGCCATATGGCATAAAAATCCATAAAGAAAAACAGATTAGTAAATGGGATTTGACAACAGTGAAAGTTTCATTTTCATAGAATGTTTAAACTAATAAACCCTAAAAATGGTTTATGTGCTTTCATAGCTTGTAAAATACCGGATATTTCAAGCATGCTTCAGTACAGACAGATGTTAATTAGTTGGGTTTGCTTCATAATAATTATAAGTTAACTTAATATTTGTGTAGGAAGGAGTATGAAGGATATTTATGTGATCTTTTTTCAGATTTTGCAGCTGATTGCATGCTGAAGTTTGAAAAGTTTTGTCTTTATATCACAAGGAAAATTGCCAATTATGTATTTTACACGTTACTTTCCTCAGATGCTATTAAAAAATCCTCTGTGTATGTACCAAAATTAAAGCTGCTCAGACCCTTTGAGAGTGGCTGCTTGTATTTTAAGATTGTGGTTGCCTTTTCAGCATCATGGCCTGACTTTGGGCCCAGTGGCCTATAAACCTAATTTTGGGCTGTACATGCAGCACCTCTTTCTAGATCACAGCCCAAATTACAGGGATTCTGATGGTTTGATTGTAATTGTCAACACCTTATTTGTTCTTAGTGGCTTAGGGAGTATTTAATTTAATTTATGTCAAATGTTATTTTCACAGAAATTCACATGTTGCATTTCTGTGGAATTGCTGTAAATGTACTTTTTTATGGTTTAGTTTTAGTTTAGGTTTCTGAAACTGCTTGTGATGTGTATCAGAGTTTGTATGAGCAGGGGAATACTTCTGGTTTGGGATTTATTTGCTGTTGCTGCTCCATTTTGGCAGGAGTTAAAGGAAGACAATCAAGTGTTGCTGGAAACCAAGACAATGTTGGAAGATCAGTTAGAGGGAACCCGAGCCCGTTCAGACAAACTGCACGAGTTAGAAAAAGAGAATTTACAACTAAAAGCTAAACTGCATGATATGGAGATGGTGAGTGTCAGGGGAGGGTGGCAAAGGGAACTGATATACACTGAATTTCATTTCCATTTTTAATAAAAGCCTTCAAAATAGCAGGGAAAAGAAGGAATGTGATGATCAATGCAGAGACTCAAGAGCAATAGGATTGATTTTTTGGATGTGAACTGATTGTCACTTAAATACTGTATTTACCCCATGCAGTTTGCTTCCTAATATTCAGAGAGAAGTAAACTTCAGAAGAGTAAGGAGTGATTGCTGTAGGTCATGAGAAGAAGAGGTTCTTTATGATCTTCTTTTTGCTGTTCCATTCAAAATTCTCCCAATTCTTGCCAGTTTCTCCCCATCTGACTGTCTAGGCAGATCAGAAAAAGCACTTTGCCCTTCCCTGTGACAGCATAGTAAAGATAATAGAATACAGATATTAATAGAATATAGGTAATAAAACACTTTGCATGTTTTGAGACTTTTCTTTTAACCTGTGAAATAATTTTCAAGGAGCGTGATATGGACAGAAAGAAAATTGAGGAGCTCATGGAGGAAAATATGACCCTAGAAATGGCTCAGAAACAAAGTATGGATGAGTCTCTGCATCTTGGCTGGGAGCTGGAGCAGATAAACAGGACTACTGAACTTTCTGAAGGTAAACATTACTGAAGTAAACAGTGACTGCTTGGAAGGCAATTGAAATGGAAACCCCAGAGGCTGGAGAGCATTAGGAAATGAAATATCCTTATTTCTGAAGTACTGAGCATGTTGTCCTCTGGAGAAATGCTGATTCCCATGTATCCATGGAGATACAGCCTAGAAGTCTGTTCTTGTGGTTCTTGTTCAGTTAAATAAAGCCCATAAATACCTTGAAGTTGCATTATTTTGTCATTCAGACTTCTGTACTCTGCAGCACAAATCATGAGGCTTCTTGCTTTGCTGTTCTCAAAGTTAAGGAGAAGTGCTGTAGTAAAAATTTTGAATCTTCCAGTATAACATGCTTGGATATAAACTGGGTTCTGTGCAAAGCACTTGTGGAATTGGAGAGACGTCTTGAGCTGTGGAAAACGAATCTGTGCTGTGATTAGGAACATGAGGAGAGTAGAACATATTTTAATTTCTCGTGTTTCTAATCCTTATCATCTCTGATCACCAAGAAGGCACTGGAAGGACCTTCAAAGGCTGTTAAATTCTCTTAAGTTTAAAATGCAAAATCCCAAGAACTCTGGCTAATAAGTTATCTTTTATTTTAATAATAGTGTTTTTCTCCCGCAGTGCCCCAGAAATCCCTGGGCCATGAGGTGAATGAGCTGACATCCAGCAGGTTACTGAAGCTGGAAATGGAAAACCAAAGTTTGCTGAAGACAGTGGAAGAGCTGCAAAGTGCAGTGGGCTCTGTGGAAGGCAGCAGTTCAAGGATTCTGAAAATGGAAAAAGAAAACCAAAGACTTAGCAAGAAGGTAAAATTCAGGGTGTGTTTGGATTGTGTGAGAGCTGCCTAATGTTCTTGGCTATTCTCTTCCTAAAGGGTAATTTTATGAATTGCTGTTATTTTGGGTAAGGCACTACAAGGGTCTGGGTGGAGTTAGAGTGTTTGTAAGTTTATGGTATAAAATAAAACCACCTCCAAGAGGTTTTTTTCTCTTTTTTGTTATGTGAGTGTGTGACCAGTTTATTCAGGAAGGTCTTAGAGCGGGGGAGGGGAAAAGATAATAATGTACTGGGGATATGATGAGTAATGAAAGTGGTTTAGAGTACTGGAGAGCATTAATTTTGGTAATTCGGAAGCAGAAGAAAGTGTGTGTGCAGAGGTGGAGAGTGAGAGATGAGTCTGGGCTGAAAGTTTGGTCCTGTGTCCTCGTTTTGGCTGAGGAAGGGAGAAGTTGGGTCAAGGAATTGATAAACAACTCAAGAGGGGAGTTTGTCAGGTGTTAACTGTGCTGAGCTGCAGTGCTTTACTCCTCGAGGTACATGTATCAAATAGAATAATTTAGTCAGTGGTATTTATAGAGAATAAAAACTAGAAAAAAGAAAAAAAAAAGCTGGGACTAATTACAGTGGAGTGAAAATGTCTCAAGTTCCTGAAATAGCTTTGACTTCAGCAGTTACTTCAGGTGAAAGACTATTCTTAGAGTGGCTAACAGATAATTAAAAAAAAGAAAGAAAATTAAAGAAATCCCTACTGTATTCCATGCTTCCATAAATTTTCTCATTCCTGAGAAGCTGGTGTTTTTTGGAGCAGCCTCTGTGCTGTGCCCGAAAGAGAGCTGGGAGGTACAAAAGGTGTAAGAAACACACAAACATCGTTCAGGTCAACTTGTTACAACTTAAATGTGACAAAGAAATCATGCTTGGGCATTTTAAATTTTAAATAGTTTTGCTCTCTGCAAGTTGGAACCACTTGACAAAACAAACCCATATATTTAATTCCCAAGGAATCATCTTAATTATCTCTTGGAATAGTTAAGTAAGATCAAACAACATTCAACCTTCCTAAATTGAACGGGTCTTAGAGGAGCAGTATAAATCTCACTAAAATGGAATTTTGAGAGGAAAAAAAAAAAGATGCTTGAGGAAATATCCAGAGCCTGAGAATATTGGAGCCCTTCTTTACACTAAAGTACTTTATAGATACAGTGTTTGTTCTGAGCCAGGGAGAAAACTCTGGCAGGAGTAAATGTATTCCCAGAAGAAATTAATGTTTCAATTAAAGATTAGAAAATTCTGTTTTATTCTTTCCCTTAAGCTTTTTTATTCATTTCTGTAAGGGTACCTTCAACCCAGCTAAGACTGTAATTTTTAAGTACATTTTAAAACTTTTGTTTCCCTTCCCAGCTTGAAGAGCTGGAGAATGAAATTAGCCAAGAGAAACAAAGTCTTCAGAACAGTCAAAATCAGAGTAAAGATTTGATGAAAGAAAAAGCACAGCTTGAAAAGACACTTGAAGCACTTCGAGAGAACTCTGAGCGACAAGTGAGTAGCAGAACCAAAAGTCTGAACGCTGCTGTGGGCTCTGCTGGTCTCCTTTTGTAGGATTTTACAGACATAAAGGGATTGTAAACGTAGTGGATTTGCCAAAAGGAGGTTCCTGCAGGAAAACAGCTTTGCTGAGAGCTGCAGCCAGTGAGAGACGTGACTCATTTCTGGCTGGGGCTTTCCTGGTGGGTTTAGAGTTTTGTGGTGCTTGTAACGCTTCCGTGGGTGTCTGCTGGAGCTGTGTGGAGGGTGTAGCTCAGCCAGGAGAGAAAATTGGGAACTTTGGAGGGAGGCCAGACACCTCCCAGAGGGGGAGAACAGCTGGCAGTGCATGGAGTAATGCTGGAGTATTGATGGGAATTCCAGCAGCCTCGGGTCCAGCTCTGTAATTCTGCCCTGCGCTGGGATGGGTTCTTGCTGTGAACACCTGGATTTATTTGTGGCTGCCTAAAACTGGCACCTGAATCTTTGTAAAAGATGTACCCATGGACACTGGCACCTTCTGAGGTGTCTGCAGAGCAGCCACCAGGAAAAAAGAGTTCTGGAAGTCCCAGATTTAGGAATTGAGTCCTTTAGAACTGCCATTAGCTTTTATAAATTCTATTTATACCTCCTGGTGGCGTGGCCATTTAGTTTAATTTAAAGCACACCGTATTTAGAAATGCAGAATATTATATTTCAAAAAAAGCTGAATATTTTTAAAGGCCCTGTTTAATCAGTAAATGAAATTCCAGAAGGAAGAAAAAAAAGGGAGGGGGGGAAAAAAGCTTGGCAGGGAAGGTTTGCTTGAATTTAAAGATATATATCTTGTTTTAGGACTGATATTTCAGTGGGACTATTTCTGCTTAAAAATAATACACTTAAGGGCTGATGGGTCAACAGCATATTCGGTTTCCCTTCCAAAATCCTGTGCTAACACTTACTGGAGTTGGCTGTAGGAGGTTCATTTGATCTCATCCTAAATCACAGAGGCATCTGTCGGGAATTTTTGTAGAATTGGAATTACAGAAGCAGAATTCCTAGACAGTAATTCAGTACCATGCCAGGTGCTCCAGAGTTATGTTTTTAGGCACCTGTTAATGAGTTTCTGGTGAATATTCCAGAGCAGTTTGTCATTGCTGGGAGCAGAGCTGTGGATCTGTAATTAATAGTTTCATTCAGATTTCACTATGGAAGAACAGCCTATAATTTTCTCAGTCTGTTTTTCATTGCAAGCAGGGATTTTGCTTTTCTCCCAAACAGTTTATTGTTGAAACATCCCTTACACTGGGTTATTAGTGTACACTTAAATATTGATCCAAACAGTTTTGCTGGATTTTGCTGTCTGGTGTTACAAGCCCAAATAATTCCAAATGATTTGGAGCAACCTAAAAAGTCAAGAAATACTAAAAATTAAGGTGTAAGTCTGCCTTTATCCTTGAAAATGTTTCCTAGGAAAATAATTCCAATATGCTTTGCTATCCTCTGAGGCTGGTTTGGGACAGAATATTCAATATCCAAATATTTTTAACTCAAAAATCAGTATAACTTTGGTGTGTTTCTTCTCAGATTGTTGTTGATTATGATCAGGATTCCCTCATCTCCCACCCATCACCTCTGCTTCTTCCAAATGAAATAAAGATATTTTTGTGGCTCCCACATGCCACTCCATCTCAGGTTTGGTTTAGAACTTGCAGTGCTGTTCTTCTTGGACACACAGCTCTGGAAATCAGAGAAAAAACAATCTAAATGAGGGTTAAACAACAAGTGAAAATTAAATTTGCTAGGAAGTAGGTAAAGCTTTACTTTGATTTGTGTTTTATTAGTTTTGGCTTTATATTTATCTATTAGTATCCAAGAGGAAGAGATTTGAAGATTTACTTTGTTGTCAAACTTGAAATAATGTTTGTAATTCTTCACATAAATATTAGCAGAGTAAAAGAGTTTTTTAAACTTAAAAAATAATATGATATGTTGAGTATTTTTTAGTTTATATATGGGAGCAATTCCTTGTTGGCACGTTGTTTATCGCTTTATCATTTTTCTACCCAAATTAGATTAAACTCTTAGAACAAGAAAATGAACACTTGAATCAAACTGTGGCTTCTCTAAGGCAGCGCTCACAAATCAGTGCTGAGGCAAGAATGAAAGAAATTGAGAAGGAAAATAAAATCCTCCATGAGTCTATCAAAGAGACCAGCAGTAAGTTAAATAAGATGGAATTTGAAAAAAAACAAGTCAGGAAAGAACTGGAACACTACAAAGAGAAAGGGGAGAGGGCAGAAGAATTAGAGAACGAGCTGCATCGTCTGGAGAAGGAAAATGAGTTATTACAGAAGAAAATCACCAACCTAAAAATCACTTGTGAGAAGATCGAGGCCTTGGAACAAGAGAACTCTGACCTGGAGACGGAGAACAGAAAGCTGAAAAAAACCTTGGATAGCCTGAAAAACCTCACTTTTCAATTAGAATCCTTAGAAAAGGAGAATTCCCAACTCGACGAAGAAAATTTAGAGTTACGGAGGACAATTGAGTCCTTGAAGTGTACAAGCATTAAAGTGGCACAGTTACAATTAGAAAATAAGGAGCTGGAGAGTGAAAAGGAGCAGCTCAAAAAAAGCCTTGAGCTGATGAAAGCCTCTTTTAAGAAGACTGAACGCTTGGAAGTCAGTTACCAAGGCCTGGACACGGAAAACCAAAGGCTTCAGAAAGCCCTGGAAAACAGCAATAAGAAGATTCAGCAATTAGAGAGCGAATTACAAGATTTAGAGACTGAAAATCAGACCCTGCAAAAGAACTTGGAAGAGTTAAAAATCTCTAGTAAGCGCCTGGAGCAGTTGGAAAAGGAGAACAAGTTGTTAGAACAAGAGACTTCTCAACTGGAAAAGGATAAGAAACAGCTGGAAAAGGAAAATAAAAGGCTTCGACAGCAAGCAGAAATTAAAGATAGTACCTTAGAAGAAAATAATGTCAAAATCAGTAATCTGGAAAGGGAAAATAAATCTTTATTTAAAGAAATTGTTGTATATAAAGAGTCATGTCTGCGCCTGAAAGAGCTGGAAAAGGAAAACAAAGAACTGGTGAAAAGAGCTACCATTGATAAGAAAACCCTGGTCACTTTGAGAGAGGTAAACACAGAGGAGTTTCCATTCCCATCATAATCTGTTTATAATGTACAGAAATTGTATCTGGGTTTCTGATTTGGGGATTTTTTTCTACTTTAATATGTGCACTATTAACACCATTGGATAATCAAAATTTCTATAATCATAGTCATGAAAAGGAAGAATATCATTGCTGGAATGTTTCACTGTCATGTTCCAGCCCAAATTTCAAGGGAAATTCTAAAGGGAAAGGGAGAGAGCACAGAGATATCCTGTTTTAGTTACAGTGTAAGGTCTGATACAGCTGAAAGCTGACAACTGCAAGAAGAATTGAAGTTGAATTATTCCAGTCATGTAGTTGATAAAACACCCTTGTCCCAGCACGCCTAGAACTAAGACTACATTGCTTGATTTTGCTGCAAATACTGACTGTAGTTTTTTCTGTGCAAGGACTTGGTGAATGAGAAATTGAAGACCCAACAGATGAACAATGATCTAGAGAAACTGGCCCACGAGCTTGAAAAAATTGGCTTGAACAAGGAGCGTCTCCTGCACGATGAGCAGAGCAGCGATGACAGGTGAGAATGGCAGGACCTGCATGACAAAGAGGAAAAATGAGGCTCTTTTTTATTCATAAAGTGCTTTTGCAGACTGGTTCTGTGCATACTCTTAGATTTTTAAGGCACACTCATAGATCCAAAAAGGAACTTGATATTTTTGGAAGTTAATTAGTTGATGTGCTTTCACGTTCAGCTGACTGTGACAGTGACTTGCCACTTTTTGTTGCTAAGAGACTGGTTGAAGTATGTCAGGAGATATAGTTAATTATAATTAAAATGTTTTATGCTCTAGTCAGCAGCAGCAACAGTAGCAGTAAAAGATAATTAGCTTAAAGTAGTCTTTTTTTTTCCTTTTTGTCTGCCTGTCTGACACAGATGGTTTTTTATCGCATAGTGATTACCTGAAACTGTCTCACTTTTTCCCTGCAACCATTTCCTTCTAATTCTTCCATCCTAAAGGAAACTGCATTCCCACTTCCCCTGGCTGGGAAGTATCCAGTGCTTGATTGTCTCCAGAACTTGGTGGTGGCTCCATCACTCCTCCACACCTGCCACTGGGAAGCAGCTGCTGCCCTGACGTGTTTCCTCTGCTGCATTTTCCTCCTCTGCCTTATCCTGCAGGGATTTAGGGAAAATTGGTGACAGGAGCAAAGCAGGCAGTGTGGGCTTCTGGCCAAGCTTTGCTTCCCAGCACAGTTTTGCTGTCATGAGCTGTTATTACAACTGATTGTCGTGAGCCTGGAGATTGAGCTGGGGCCTTCTGTGTCCAAAGGAACCCAAATTAGGCTTGGGGTTTGAATCCAGCTTCCCTTTCCCAGTGCTCTGTCACAGGGCTGGTGCCAGGGTGCTGTGGGTGATTGTGTTACCCCCTCTTGGTTTCTGCTGGTGGCTTTCACCTGCATTTCTCAGCTCCCAGATGAGTTCAGGGAAAGTTCTCAGAACTTGGACCGGTTGGATTTCTTCTGATTTAAGCATTTCTGTGTCACATACAGCATTTGGTGTGTCCTTAGATAAATATACCCAACAAAAAAAACACCAGTCCTTGATCCAAGGCGAAGCTTAAACTTAGATGAAGCCCAAATGGAGCAACATTTAATCAAGTTCCAGGTTAGAAGTGGTTGGGCTCTGCTGCTGCCCTGAGATTCTTCCCAAGCTCCTTGTAGAGCTGGAGGATCATGAGAGGACAGTGTTTGTTTTCAAAGTAAAAACTAGGATTGGTTTGAAATTTTGCTCTGCCAATATCCTGCTTTTCTGTTGTTCTCAACTTCTTCATTCATCCCAAAGATACCTGGATTACTTCCCTTACATAACAATGCATAGGTGAGTCATTACCAGCTCTTTCATCAGGGCTATCAAGAGCTGAGTTCATTAGGGATAAAATTACTTCTCAGTGTAGCTTTTCATCTGCCTCTGGGATTTTGATGATGGAAATTAAAAATGTACCATTTTCCTCATCCAGGTTGGAAAGAGCTGCTCGTGGTTTTTAAGAAATGATCTTGGTAGCACCTCAGAGTCTTTTTATTGAGGTCTAAGCTGGCCACATTTTATGAGTTAACTTTGAAGTGTTTTCCATTTTCTCTTGCCTGCTGTCCTTGGACAAACAGATTTATGGCTTTTGACTCTGAATCCAAAATAACCCAAGTTACAGTTAGAATAAAAAATTTGTACCATCTTTCATTGTTCAAAGTGGAAGTGGGTATTTTATTTCTGCTATTACTGTTTTTCCTTCTTTTGTTTTCTGTAGAATTGTGTCATTTTTCAGTAGCAGAAATTACTTGTGGCTACCTTCAGCTCAGTAAGATGAAATACTGTATATTCTACTAGTCACAGGCTGCCTGCTATTCCGTAAATCCTTGGGAATTCGTTGTCATATCTGAAAATCTCGGATTCTCCTCCTGCTGCATGATGCTACTGGACAGCTTTCTGCTTATTAATTCTCTTCCCATTGGTCTTCTGCTCCAGTTCCTGACTGGATCTGATGCCATTGTCCATTCAGGAGTCTCCTGCAGTTTATTCCCTTCACTAAACTGATGGATCCTTCAGCAGCCAGGATTGGGAAGGGGGGATATCAGAGGTTGGGTTTATTTTATCCAGCTGTGGGGAGGAGCGGGGTGTTCTCCAGGTTCTGAGCAGCACACAGGGACTGAACTGCTTAGAAGTGATCCATGAGCGTGGGTTTCAGTGTTTCCCATGAAGGATGTGCAGTTCTGAACCAATCCAGTTTGATCTCAGCACTTCTCTCTCAAATTGACATTTTAGGAGGGGGTTTAGGTGCTCTACAATATCGTGAATATGGTTAAAAATGGAAGCTTTGCACATCAAGGGTGGTAACAGTCTTAAAATATCAGCAGCTGGGCTGAGTGAGCAATTTGCACATTGATGCACCAAACGAGCGTGCACCTGCACAATCCTCTGCTCCATCTCCTTCCCTGTCCTCCCCTTTGGAGCTGGCAGGAAATGGGAACTGATGAAAATCTTGCTCTCCAAATACTTCACATTCTAATTGAGTTCAGGTCCCTGCTGGATTCGCTGGAGTGGAGCCAGAAGGAGGAGTGCAGACACCACTCACTAATGATGTAGAGAAACCCAGCACACCCCTGGTGTGCTTGAAGGGGTCTTTTTCTGGGTCTAACATGTTTCAAAAGAAAGGAGGAGTCAAAAATGGTTTTGACAACCATCTTCTGGTTATTTTAACATAGGATTTGCTGGGGGTGCTGAGGTGTCTTCATATTTTTGACCACAGCTCTCAGGGATTTTTGAATGTAGCTATGAGTCTGTTCTAGAACGTTTTAGAATTTAAATACCTGGAATAATCATTTGAAATACAGACTCTTTTTTGTTGTTGGCCAGTAGGTACAAGCTTTTGGAGTCCAAATTAGAATCCACGCTCAAGAAGTCTTTGGAAATAAAAGAAGAAAAAATTGCTGCTTTGGAGGCTCGTTTGGAAGAATCAACAAATCTAAACCAGCAGCTGCGTCAGGAACTGAAAACAGTAAGGAAAAGGGTGTTTCTCTATAATGTTAATATTTTCTACACTTTTTGGGTAAGACAGCAAAAAATGGGCATTTTTCAGGTGATGGAAAGCAGGACAAAGGTGTGAATGCTTTTAAGACTGTCTTGAAATCACCTGAAAAGTTGTTGAGTTTATTCACAGGCCATGAAAACGTCAGCTGGATAAATAACCTGGAGTTGATTTGATTTGGGATATCATTTCCAGTTACATTTTCTGGCCTGCCTTGAGCAGCCTGAGTAGATTGGTTAAAAAAAATTAAATTCTATCACCTTTGTTGTAGAATTTTAGTATAAAAGAGGGGGGATACGGTTAAAAATGCTGAAATAAAATAGAAAATAGAGGCCTGCTGTTTGTTGGGGTTAAACTGTCCATATCCATGAATAATTGGTATAAATTATTTTTTATTTATTTATTGAATTATTGTTTTTTAAATTACTATTAATAAATAGTCTCCCCAAACATGTACAAAAAACAAATTTACAAATACAGTAACAGTGCTTCCTGTTCTTTGAGAAGGGGCATGGTCTGGTAATCAATCAATAAATTTAATACAAAATGGAAAATGCTAACCTAACCTAAGTTGTCCTAAATAATTCCAGGTAAAGAAGAACTATGAAGCTCTCAAGCAAAGGCAAGAAGAGGAAAGGATGGTTCAGAATTCTCCTCCAAGAAGTGGAGAAGAAAATCAGTCTGTCAATAAGTGGGAGAAAGAAAATCAGGAGACTACTAGAGAATTATTGAAAGTTAAAGATAGATTAATCGAAGTGGAGAGGAATGTAAGATGTGTTTTAAATACATATTTAAATCTTAAATAGGATTCTGGTGGTAATTATTTGTGGTGAGCTGTTCCAGTAATGCAAATGAGGGTGTTGTTAAGACACTTTAATTTATCACCTCGTTTCCATCCCAGGCAGAATCTGAATTAAATACAGTGCATGTAGCAGCTGGATTCTGCTCTGTGGGATGCCATAAAGCACTTGACAGGCATTTAAAAAGGAAATGTGAAAACCTGCATTTGCCCTTTTGAATCCACAGCTCTCTCTCAAATCCCTGTTCTATAATCTCTATTTCCAGCAGTTCTGGAGGTTCCTCTCCTGTTTCTCCACAGGTGCAACATCCCTTACCTGTTTTTCCAGTGATAAATCCCCCCAAAGTGTGTTTGTTCTGCAGTGTTATTCCACCCTGTAAATCTCTGCACAGTCCTGCTGCTTTCTATGGTCTAGGAAACACTTTTGGTTTATCTTGGAGTTCCTGGAGCAGCTGTGAGCTGAGGTTTTGTGTGGTTTTAACCCCCCAGAACGCGACGCTGCAGGCGGAGAAGCAGGCGCTGAAAACGCAGCTCAAGCAGCTGGAGACGCAGAACAACAACCTGCAGGCCCAGATCCTGGCCCTGCAGAGACAGACTGTGTCCCTGCAGGAGCAAAACACAACTCTGCAAACTCAGAATGCCAAGCTGCAGGTAATGCTGCCTTAGTTTGCTTGCAAAAATAAAACCAAAGGGGTTTTTTCCAAAGGAAAACTTAAAATACATAGTTATTGTTAACTTTAAAGTCACGTTTGGCTTCCCTGAGAGACATGGGAAGGAAGGTGATGTGAAAATAATCTGCACTCAGCAGTCAAATAACAGTGTGTTTGCTGATGAATAATTGCATTTTTAGAAATTGGTTTTAATCCTTTGTCCAGTGTAAAATCTTGACTTTATACTTAGAAGTAGCAAAGATTCTCTTACCCAGTCTTCCAACGTTCCTTGGGTTTTTTGCTTGTGTTTATACATCTAAATTAGGTCAGGGAAGTAATGTGTCCAGCCATATTCTAAAAAATTCTATCTATTTTTATAAATATCTAAAAAAATAAAAGTAAAGCCGTACCCAAGAGGAAAATAAAGATACTTAAATACAGAAGATTTAAAAAAAAAAAACCAAAAAAACCAAAAGAAAATGGAAAGGTACTTATATATGTGAAGACCTGAATTTAAATAATTGAGAGGCAGTAAAAAAGGTAATGTGTGAGCATGGAAATTATAAAAATGGTTCTCCTCAGAGTCTTTGCAGCTCTTCTGGCCAAAATTCGGATGTTGCCCTTACAGTTTAATGAGGTTATTAAATGTGTATCTTTTTTCTTTAAACATAAAATATTCTTGTTAATGGAATTAATGCTTTTTGGAGTTCTGAGACTCAAAACTCCTTCAAGAGGAGATGAAAACCCCACAATGCAGCAGAAATAGTAAAAAGTGTCAGCAAGGATGGAGGGCTGATGGAAATCAAGATGTCAAGGACTGTTAAAATGAAACAAATAATGCATTTGGTGGATTCCTGGAGTCTCCTCCTGGCCCTTCGTGGAAAGCAGAATGTTGTTGTTCCATGGATGCACTTTCTGCTGCCATGTTGAAATGCCATTAGTGCACAGCACTCCAGTAAAACAGGACATGGGTGCACACCCTGGACCTCCTCTGGTCGTTACAAACCAGTGGGTATGGCATGGAAATATCCCATTTAACCAGCTGAGAGGGGATTGCTGGGATTCAGAGCTCTCGGAGCACTTTGTAATTCCCTTCATCAAAAAAACCCCAGGAGTATCCGTGAAGTTCCTTTTTTGCCTCATGCCCAGCAGCACAGACCTTTTCTCTCTGGCAGGACAATTCTCCATGAACTGCAGATCCAGATATGTTCAGGAAAATCAAAGTGATGAGCTGTTGGCTTAAATCCGAAGTGCAGACTGAGCTGCTCTACCTGGACTGTGCCAAAACTGTTCCTGGGCAGCTCATTGTTCTCTTCCTCCTGATAGCCATAAGGAGCAGGCAAGGGAAAGCATGTCTGAAAGGGTAACTGGGAATTCTGACCTAACCAAACTCAGGATTCAGCCTGGGAAGTTTCCCAGCACACCCCTGCCATCAGACATGACTTCATTTCCAGTGAAGGATTCAGCTTTCTCATCTCTCACAAAGAGCGCTGCAGTTCCAGCAGGAAGGGATTTGTTCCCTGGTAACAGGGGGAACTGGAGTGAGAGATGGAATTTTTTTTCCTTAATAGATACCCCGAGGGTATTAGAAAGCTCACTAGTTTGTGGTTTTCATCTCTTGAACAGGAAAGAGAAGGAAGCTGGTACAGATCAGGTGACAAGCACCTATTCTTTAAGATACCCAAGGATTTCTCCAGAGGCACAAAAAGTGAAGTTGTTGGTTGGGGCTTTTTTAAGCTGTCTAACATTAAAGGCTTTTGTGCATTAATCCACATTAATGCTGTTCTGGGACATTCATTTGGTGCTTTCCACAAAAGAGCACAGAACAGAACATGGCTAGTTCCTTCAGGTGCTGTTGTTTATCTCCCTCTCTCTGTTAAATGGATGCTCCTGTTGGAACTCTCATCGTGAAGGAATGCGTGAATACCATGAAAATTTCATGCTGACAATACAGAATTTTTAAAAAAATGAATCTCCATGCCATTGTGAAAGTTCCTTTTATTTTAGTCATGTCACAGATTTGGCTTTTATTAGGATCACTGGTGATCCATTTCTCCAAGGTATCTTGGTGCTAGAGGAAAGTGGCCCTGTCAGCAAGATAACATTTTAACAGATGTTGAAAGGTAAATGAGAATTTGATCCATCCCTGTCAATTTAATCACATATGTCAATGCTTTCTGCTAAAAAATATTCTTGGAACATTTTGAATTGGAGCTGTCTCCTGGGATGTAAGCAAAGGTTGTCTGTGGAACAACCAGAAGGGTTAAACCCAAGAAATCTTAAAGTGGGAGGTAAAATAACCCAGACTGCACAACATATGGGGACTCTGCACTCAAGATTAAGCCTGTAATTATTTTTCCTCTGCTGGAAGTACCAGACTTCTTCTAGAATTTCTTTTTATTTTACTGTCTATCTGTCCAACAGCAAGTGGGGCTCAAACATTATTTCTTATGGGTTTGTCCTTGTTCTTTTCAGAGAACTGAAAACAAAACATCTGTCAATATTTGTGTCCTTCTTAAGAATATATGGAATTTGTGTTTATTCATGTGTAGATGCAACTTCCAGATGCAAAGCAAGGGAGATAACTGAGCAAATTGGTGAAAATAAGCTGGTGCTGACCTAGGCAGAAAACAGATTTATTCTCTTTCCTGTAGCCAGCAGTGGCCTGTTAGATGACGAGCCAAGTCACTTTGGGAGGTTCTCTTGACCCTGTGTTTCTCAATCCTCACCTCTGTGCACGGATTCCCCGCTGTCTGTGGCTGCAGGTGGAGAACTCCACGCTCAACTCCCAGAGCACGTCCCTGATGAACCAGAACGCGCAGCTGCTGATCCAGCAGTCGGCCCTGGAGAACGAGAACGAGGCGGTGCTGAAGGAGCGCGAGGACCTGAAGGGGCTCTACGAGGCCCTGCTCAAGGACCACGAGCGCCTGGAGCAGCTGCACGAGCGCCAGGCCGCCGAGTACGAGTCGCTCATCGCCAAGCACGGCAGCCTCAAGTCCGCGCACAAAAACCTGGAGGTGGAGCACAAGGACTTGGAGGACAGGTAAACACTCAGGAAAAGGAGTCTGCAATTCAGCAGGAATCGTTCTCTAATAAAATGATAGAATTAATAAAATCATCCTCACTTAATCACTAAGATTTGAAATTTCAACAGAGGCCATCTCACCGAAATTCCTTTTTTTTTTTGTCATTCCCCAAAAGGAAGTGTAAATACTGTCTTTGCAGGTACAATCAGTTGCTGAAACAGAAAGTGCAGCTGGAAGAACTGGAGAAGGTTCTCAAGACAGAGCAGGACAAAATGCTGCAGCAAAGTGAGAAACATGAAACTGTGGCAGCAGAATATAAAAAACTTCGGGATGAAAATGAGAGGTAAAGAGAATTCTGGAACCTGAGCACCTGCCAATGCAGCCTAAACAAGTGGTGTGTTCTTCCCAGTTCTTTACACCTGATGCTGCTATTCCAAATATTCATGATCCCACAAAAACAATCATTATATCCTGAAAGAATAATACATAATTATTATATATATATATATATATAAATATATATAAAATATAACATGTGGGACAAAGGGAACTCAGGAATGGGTATGTGTAACCTCCACGACTGCTTAAGTTTGGGCCATTCCTATTTTGTGTTGGCAAGAAATCCTGGCTGTTCTGTAAGAATCTTTTATTCTGAAAAGTGAAATCTTAAAACTAATCATGATGTAGAGGTGCTGCTTTGTGTTTAAATATAGAGAGAACAGTGCTTGGCTCAAAGGCAGCACACATTCCTGGGAAAATTAGGCTGGGATAACTTACAGTATGTGACAGTAAGGAATTTCTATATGTATTTTATGGAGTAGTTGGAAATTCCGTGTTTCAGAGGGAGTGTGGGTAACAGATTCATTTCCAGCACTCTTTGATGGTGTCTTTGCATCCCAGGCTCACTCACACATACAATCAGCTCCTGAGGGAGAATGAAGTGCTCCAAACAGACCACAAGAATCTGAAAACGTTATTGAACAATTCCAAACTGGAACAAACACGGTTGGAAGCTGAGTTTTCCAAACTCAAAGAACAGTACCAGCAATTGGATATTACATCAACAAAGCTAAATAATCAGTGTGAGGTATGTGGGAATTCTGCTGTTTGTAATGGCTGGAATCATTGGAATATTTTTATAACTAGATTTATAGGTTCATATAAATAATAATAATGCTGGAGTATCAGTTATTGCTAGATAATGAAGTGAATCCAAAGACTAATTAATTTGCCTGCTGTACAGGCAATACACAGTTTCAGGCTCATATCAGGGAAACTGATTTAAATTATTTAAAGCATCAAAGAGGCTTTTATCATTTGATTTGTGATTTAATTTTGAGTTTGATTTGACTCTCAGAATCCCTCTGTAGACCTCAGTTTTCTTGATAATCTCACGATCTGTGTGTAAAATGCACTCACATATAAATGCATGGGCAATTTAATCTGTTTTAACAGCTGCTTAGCCAACTTAAAGGAAACCTGGAGGAGGAGAACAGACACCTGCTGGATCAAATCCAGACCTTAATGCTGCAGAACAGGACATTACTGGAGCAGAACATGGAAAGCAAGGATCTCTTTCACGTAGAGCAAAGGCAGTACATGTGAGTTGTGAAAACAAATCACTGCGATTAGGACAATGCCACCAATACCTGCATTTTTAAAACAGAGCTTCTGTTACATAAAGAATTTAACACGTGTGCGGCTTCTGAAATGTTTCTCTCTAAAATATAAAATGATAAATAATAAAGCAGTTAACTCAAAATGTGAGCTTTATATTTGTGGTTCTAAAGGATCAGTGCAACTGTGTTCTTTCCTGATGATGGAAGTGAGGAATAAAAATTATATTTATTCCTCATTCTACTACTGGCAAAGTTTAGATTTGTAATCGCTGTACTTGCAGGTTGATACATTCATATATGAAGATACATACATAGTAGATTAATTTGTAGATTTGTAATCTAAATTTCTTTGGTGGACTTGAGAGAAGAGAAAATGTGCTTATCTAAATGATAGAATACTTTATTTAGGAAGCAGGAATGTGTAATAAAGGCAAGTGGAATTTTATTCCATGTTATGTCATGAAGTTAAGCCTAAGGCTGATTGTTTGCTGTATCTCTTGCTTTTTCAATGAGAAACCAGTGTTATGTAAGAATTCCTCACAAAACGTGCCAGTTTTCAGATAGCAGATTCCCAGAGGAACGTGCTGCCCACGCACCCTGTATACATTTTTGAAGCATAAATTATCATTAATTCCTGTTTGCAGTGACAAACTGAATGAACTGAGGCGGCAGAAGGAGAAACTGGAGGAGAAGATAATGGATCAGTATAAATTTTACGAGCCATCTCCACCGAGAAGGTACTGATGAACATGATGTAAAATAAGATACAGCTCTGAAGCACGGCAGACCTGTTCTGTTCCCACTGAAAATCGAGATTGCGTTACGTTCGTGGGATCAGAATCACGTCTGCATCTTACATAAAAATTAGGAGATTCTGCAGGCCTAAGCAACATGTTATAAATACAGTGAATGTGCTGTGTTATTGATGACAGAAGGGGCAACTGGATCACCCTGAAGATGAGGAAGCTGATCAAGTCCAAGAAGGACGGGAACCGCGAGCGCCTCAAGTCGGTGACGCTGACGCCCACGCGCTCCGAGTCCAGCGAGGGATTCCTGCAGCTGCCCCACCAGGACAGCCAGGACAGCTCCTCCGTGGGCTCCAACTCCCTGGAGGATGGGCAGACCCTGGGCACCAAAAAGAGTAGTAGTGAGTACTGCAAACCACTTCATTCCGTGAATAAACCTTGGCTAAGCGTTGGAAAAGACTGTGTGTTGTGGAGGATTTGTGAAGATCATTTCTGAGTCCATAGGAATGAAGCCTGAATTAATTTATTAAGGACAGAATGTCTTGCACCTCCCTGGAGTGTTCAGGCAGAACTAGTTTTGGGCATTTTTGTATCTCAAAATGCAAGTGTTAAAATGCACTCACAGCGCCTGGGTAAGTGCAGCAGGCACTGGTACTGGGTCAGGTGAGCAGAATTTGGGATGGAACGTCAGGTGTCACCACAAAGACCCTTTTTGTTTCTCCCTCTTGTCCCAGCATGACTCTTTCCTCTTGTCTTGGAGGTGTTTTCCAAGCTGTGACTGTGCTGACATCCTTGAGCTGCTAAAAACGCCTTCTGTATGAAGGTGTTCCCCCAGCATCTCACAAAACCAACGATGAAATTTGGATATGCAGCAGGAAGTGTTAATGTAGAAACACGACCTGTTAAAAATACAGAAACTGTTACTGATCCTAAAATTGGAGTGAACTGGTTAAGAGGGAGAATGAGGACTTACAGAAGTGTGATTAGATAGACTATTCCAGGCACAATTTGCTGACCTTGAAAGATTTGATAGCCATCCCATTAGGGTGCCTATGATGTTTAAGGCCAGATTCTGTTTTTTATTATTTATTATCAATGTTTTTTGTTCTCCACTCTTGGCATGAATCATAAACTGCCCAGTTTCTCACAACTTGAGAGATAATTACAGCCAAGTTATCAGGATGTAATGGTTCTATTTAATAACTATGCACCAAAAGCATTTTGGCTATGCATGTAAAAGCATCAGAATCCATGTGCATTAACAGTCACTTCCAATCTTTGCACTACTGCTTTTAAATTTAATGTATTGGATTTCAAAAGACAGCAGCTCTGGGGTTTGTGCCAGCTGTGAATTATTGAAGCCATTATGATGTGGTTTTTTTTTTCCTCTGTGCTTCTTGCAGAAGCTTAGTCAAAGTTAAAAACATCCCAAAAAATGCTATTTCAGGGAAAGTTAAAATCGGATCTAGATTTTTTTAATAACTGAAGAGAATAGTTGGAGGGTACATTTTAGCACTTTTGTTACTAACTTTATCCCTTTGGGGAGCTCAGCCTTTTTCAGTGGAAGCTTCCAAACAGGTATTTTACACTTTTTAAAAAAGCAACTGTTGCTTTTACATCCAAACCGTGAGTGGTGTGGGACTGGGGAGTGACTGAAGCCGTGCTGGATGTGTGTCAGTGGTGTCAGAGAGTGTGCACGCTGTGGTTCAGCCCATCTGCATCCGTGTCAGCAATGTCATGTCCTGGAAGGGCTTTTTCTGTGACAGTTTTCTTTGCATGATCCTTGGGACCTTGTAGTGTGCAGTTACCCTCCTGGGGAGCCACGGCTGCAGTTACAGTGGCTGAGCCTCAAAAGAGGTTTGAAAGCTGTTCAGACCTCATTAATTTTCTACTCCATGGACCTTGTTCATGTTCCCCTTAATCCCAGTGTATTTATCCACAAACTGGAAGGGCTGATCTAATTCCGGATCCCAACCTTCCTCCATTACACACGTCGCCGTGGAAACCACAGTTTTGGAGAGAATCCAGATGCATTTTGTGCCAGCTCAGCTCTGAGACAGAGATCTGAGAGAGTTTGTGCCTCCCAGAGCAGAGAGGATATCTCAGTGTGACGAGTGCTGGTGATGGTGCACATTTTGCAGTCTATTTCTTCCGCTCCTAGAGTGACTGTAAGTCCTAAATCCCGGGATTTGGGGTCCTTTCTTTTCCGTGGGAAGCAGTTTGGCAGTGGCAGCTTCCACTGGAGCTCCAGGAGGGAGCAAACGCGTGAGCACCGCCTGTGTGAGCCAGTGCTCAGGTGCTGGAGCTCTCTGTGCTGGCTGAAGGCAGCTCTGGCTCTGGAGGAGTTCTGTGCCACCCTGACCTCCAGCATCTGGGGAAGGAGCTGCTTCCAGCGGGAGCTGCCGAGCTGGAATGTCCTGCGTGTCCTTGAGGAGGCAGGAGAAGGCAGCTCACCTTCCCTGGCACAAACCAGTGAGGTTCTGAGCTGGAGGACTGAGTATGTGTCAGAGATCTGTAGGATACACAGGGCTCACACTTCCCCATCCCTGTCAGAGATACCGAGTTCAAAACACAGGGCTCACACTCCCCATCCCTGTCAGAGATACTGATTTCAAAAGGGTTTGCTGGATGTGACATCTGTAGTTTTCCCTCTTTTCTGGGTGGTGATGGAGATTGTGTTTTCCCAACACAGGCCACTTATTCATGTAAATGTTTCCAGGAGAGCTCTTATCTCCCTGGGAAAGGTGATCTTGGCACAAAAGTCAGGTTACCCTGTTCTCAGAGAGCACCAATTGAGGTCTCACAGCGTGGCCAGAGCCTGTGTCTGATCCCTGTGGGAAGGAGGGGGTGCCTGGAGGGCTTTTGCTGTCCCAGCACAGGTTGATCCTGCAGGAAGTGTGTGCTCCTGACTGGACACCTTGGCTTTTCATGCCTGCTGGAAGTACAGCCTCCTTCTGCCCAGGTACTGCCCACAAATGATTATTGATCTCCCCTAATGATCAGGTGGGTGCCTCAGAGCTTTTCCTCTGGATGGAGCCATTCTGAGCTTTCCCAGAGAAAACCCAAGGCAGGCAGAGGGGATTTTTGGTTTCTGTGGAGAAATACAGATACCCTTTGCTTCCACTTTAGCCATTTCAGGAGATCAGCAAATTCCCAAGGAATTAGGGCTGTTAGTAAACAGTCATCTCTACAAGGAACACCAGTAGCAGGCACACCACGTCACAGAGGGAATAAAAGGAGTGCTCTGCTCTCCATTTTCCAATGCTGGGGCATTTTAAAGATTTCTGCCTCCTATTTTCTTCTGTGCATGAACAAAACAATGGCAGGATTTGAACAGAGGATTCCCCAGAGGATTTCAGGCAAGCAGGAAAGTTACAAAGTGGGATCTTTCCTGCCCAGTTGAGGAATTCTGCAATACTCACCATTCATTCTCAGAAAGCAAGAAGGCGTTCATGGAATACTGAAAAGAAAAAGAATAGCTGATTTCTGCTGTAGCTCCACCATCCCAGTATTAATCATTATTATTGCTATTCCAGGACATTTTCTGAGGTGAATTCTGTGCAGATCCTACTTGACATGGTTTTCCCTCCAAGCATTTTGCCTTTCTGATGCAGGATTTCCAGGACATCAGTGGTTGCAGAGGAGTGTCCTGGTGGGCACAGTTGCTGAGAGCCATAAATCAGCCCTTTTGGAGGGGATCTTTGTTAATGGACAGGAAGGACAGATGACTCAGATGCTTCTTGAGCATCCTCTGGTTACTTTTTCGTAAGATTAAGGAGTTTTTAGTGAAGAGGAGTCAGTTACCTTCCATAAAGGATGACAGAGGGATGAGTTATTTTGTATGTAAAGGGTTAAAGAAGTTACAGAAGAATTTTAGGGTTTTTTTCTGTGTCATCTTGATGACAAAAAGGAGAAACAGAACAGAATGACCTGTGTGGTGAGATTGGTTTGTGAAGCTGTTCCTGTGGGTGCAGGCACAGGAAGAGCTGATATGAGGAATAGGGAATATTTCAGTGCCAGGGTAGCTCATGTGCACTTGTAAATGGTATATATGATATATATGCACTGCTCTGTACACAGAACTGCTGTGTGCCAGGCTGGGGGAGCAGGGCACACCTCCCAAAAAGGGGCTGCAGAGACAAACCAGGCAGAGCATGGTCTGGCAGACCTCTGCAGAAACCAGATCTGCTGTCATCTCTGCAGGCATCACCACTCTGGGAATTCCATCCCGTGTCCCCTTCTGGATCTTTCCATGGTGGCTCCTGTGCCTGGCATCAGCCCCCAGACTTACCCAAGGCAGGCCAGCAGTTCCTGATGCAGAGTTCCTGACTCCAAGGACAAGATTAACTCGTGACTTCCCCCTCCTCCCTCTTTTAATACTATTTGTAATTTTAACTCTGTAATTCTCCTGGTAGACTTTAACTCGGTTTTCCTTGGGCCCTCCCAAAACGTTACAGCAACACTCACATTTGGATTTTCTTTTGCTGTTTTGTTTTTTTTTTCCTTTGGTGTTTTTTTGAGCTAAAATATTTGCACATTTGAAGCAGATTGATTTTAGTATTTTACCAAAATACTGCCCACAAATTGCATTGATCAGAAGGCCCTTGCAGGTTTTCTATGAGACAGTAGATGACCAAAGTTATTACTGAGCACAAAATGGAAGAAATGAAGACTGATAAAAGACCGTGTCCTCTTAGATGTGCAGGCAAAGCATCACAGAACTTAAGCCCCAAAAATTAAGGATGTGAACATATTTTAACATAGAAATTGTACTTAGAGTTGCTTTCATTCTCAGCTTTTTTTGCTTCACATTTTTCTTTATGTTCAAAAACAATGTTATTTTTCACAGTAAAAATTACGTAGTGGTCCTTAAAAATTCCTGTAATCCCCTGCAAAGAAGTTACATTTATTTTTTTTCAAGAGCTTCAGACTGTATTACCCTCTGCACTGTAATTTTCAGTGCATTTCTGAGTTACCTGTGGAAGTTTTCCTAGCGCAGTTTTCCTGTTCCAGTGTACTTCCATATTTCATGATCACCCAGAAGCAGGAGGATGATAGCTTTTAGCATAGCATACGTAGCTTAAACTCAGACATTCATTTCTGTCCTTAGTTTCAACATTTAACTTCCATCTGTTCTTCTCCCTTTTTTTCTTTCATTTCCCTGTTTCCGTTTTTCCTCATGCTATGACATAAAAGTGGGTGCACTGAAAAGACTGCCCTTTTTGAGGAACAGACCGAAGGAAAAAGACAAAATGAAGGCCTTCTACCGTCGCTCCATGTGTAAGACTTTATGACAGTTCAGCTTCTTCTCAATGGCTACACTGGCTTCCGTTACTAATTTTTCACTAACCTCTCCCTGGACTGCGCTCTATTTTTCCTCTTTTGCAATGTGCAAGTCCTGCTACGGTACAAGGAGCTGGAGCTTTTTACTTTTTACCCTCCCCACCCCACCCCCCTTTTTTATTTTTACTTTTTAAGAAACTTAGGCACTGAATACTTTATGCCTGTGCACACACACGTAGCCACACGTTCCCATGCACACGCGTATAATCTATTCAGTGCCTCGTGACTGCATATATTTGTATACATGGCTGTCTATATACACATGGCCCTATGTGTATATGAATTTACAGTGCACTGTGTTAACGGAAATGGTTCTAAAGGACACGTTTCGTAAGCCTTTTGTTCAGAAGTCACTGTAATTTCTTTTTTTTTGTTGTTGTTGTTTAAAGCGAGTGTAGGAGATTGTGCAAGGCTCTCTGGTGGTCTGTCACTCTGCGAGTGTTCATCAGTTCTCATTGCCAGAATGCTGCATTGATTTCTTTTGTTCCGTTTTATTTTCTGATGAGGGGTGGAGTGTTTTCTCGAGTTTGGGGAAGTGAAGGTGAATATCATCAGATGTGGTATTTTTCAGATCCTCTCTCTGTTGCTCTGTAAACCCCAGTGCGCCTGCAGTAACCTGCACTGTACAAGGATCCCGTGTGAGCGCTGGCACTCCGTTGTATGAGCACCCGTGCCCGTTTTGTCCCCGCTCATCCCATTTTCTCACGGCAAGCAGCTGGCAGAGCCTCTAACAGCACCTGGCATGGCATGGCGATCCCTGAGCAGCCTGTTTTGAGCAACACCTCCCTGGGCTCAGCAGCCTGAGCCTCCTCCCTCCCTCTGTCCCGGTTGCATGCGGTACCCGGGGTGCCTGCGGGCGCTTTAATGCTTAGAAAACTGTCCGACCTTTGCAATGCAGATTAACAACCCGCCAGGTACGTTGCCCTCGCTGATCATTTGCTTTCATTTGCATCCCAGCCATGAATGACCTGGTGCAGTCCATGGTCCTGGCAGGAGGACAATGGACAGGTAGTTCTGAGCATCTGGAGGGTCCTGATGATATATCCACGGGTAAAAGGAGGAAGGAATTGGGAGCTATGGCCTTCTCTACTACAGCTATCAACTTTGCCACTGTCAACTCCTCCACAGGCTTCAGATCCAAGCAGTTGCTAAATAATAAAGGTATAGGTAGAAGCTTTTTGCACCGTGATGTAACTGTGTAAATATTGGTTTGACTTAATGTTTTTAAGTTTTTCAATCTTAATAATTGAGTTGCAGTGCTAAGATAATGAACTGGCTTAATAACTGCAGTTATAAAATGTTTCAAGCTTTTTCCTGCAGAATGTTTCCTAAGTAAAAATGGATTGCTTTGAAAAATATTTTAAATTTTATCAATGATAAGTATTTTAATAATCTTTGCACTTTATTTTATTTTACATCTTCCTTTATGTCTCTGTGTGTAGATACTACATCCTTTGAAGATGTAAGTCCACAAGGTATTAGTGATGATTCTAGTACAGGATCAAGAGTTCATGGTAAGATGTGAGCTTTAATTAAATGAATTAAGGATATATGATGTGAATGTTAATGAATTTGTGAAAATACAGTGAATGGCATCATTGCAATGAGCATGCTCTCTCTGATATTCATATCTCTCCAATGTACTGTATCATTTCTTCAGATTCTCCTTTCTCTCTTAACTACTACATCAGACAGATGTTCTGTATCTCTGGTAGAAAGTATTTGTGAAGTGCATCTGAACAGGATGAAAACATTTTCCCTTTTAGTGGGAAAATGTTTGAACTTCTATTTGGAGTTAATAGTAAATAAAGGAAGTTAGCATTTCGGTCCTAAAAAAATCAAATCCAAATCTGGTGTGAGTTTTCAATGCTTGTTGTTCAGTGAACCCCAAATTTGCCATGTGCTGTAATTTACAAAATCATTACGTGTTCCTTCAAGCAAAGCTTTGAAGTGAAAAATAGTCTATTAATAGAAGTGAAGTTTTAACTGTACTGTAAACATTTACAATGAGTACGAGCAGCAAACATTTTTGAGGCTACTAACAGTGCATTTCCCTTGTATTGGCTTAGGAGTACAGGACTTTATCTGTGCAGATGCTCTTGCTCCTCCTGTCCGTGGCATTCCAGCCCTGTGCAGGGTTCCCTGTCAGATCTGTTGTAAGTGAGCTGACCACAGCAGCCCCTGCATGCTCCTGTCTGAGCCCTGCTTCCTCACTGAGCACTCAGTTTCAATTCTAAACTACACTCTTTCTCTTTTCCTCTCCTCTGTACCTCGCTATTCCTCTAGTGCCCTTTTCCAAAGTGTCCTCTTGGACCGCCTGGAAATTCCTTCGCTTTCTGATCTGTAAGAAACCACTTTGTTCCCACGGGCATGCTCAGCCTGGGAGGTCGTGCATGATCCTCTGAGCATTCTGTCAGCAGAATGTCAAGGTGCCGTGTCCTCTGCTAAAATGTTGTTCATCACAGTGTCTCCTAATTTTCCATTCAGCTTCCAGACCAGCCAGCCTTGATAGTGGCAGGACATCCACTAGCAATAGCAATAACAATGCTTCACTCCATGAAGTCAAAGGTATGCTGGGGGTGAATTCACATCGGTGCTTCATTTCCATTCTTTTCTCTGTAAAATCATCTGTAGAGGTTCAAAAACCCCCACAACCAAAAATCTCCCACTGCACAGCACAGCATGTGCTTCCTTGAGTGTTTCACAGCCTTCATTCCCCAAATTAGAAGCACAGGTATTTTATGGTTTTAATAAATATTAAAAGAGTGGTGTTAGTTTTTAAGTTTCTGTCTGTTTTAAACCAAACCTAACCCGGATAACATTGTTACAAAATAAGAATTCCCCCCCAAATTACTTTAAAAGCTTTTTAAGCTGAGAAATTGCTCCTTTTTTTATTTTTTTTTTCTCCAAGCATCCTCCTGCACTGCACTACCACTGTGAGCTGTGTGCTGTACAACTGCACAAAATGGCACATGTGATTCATGCTAGAAACCCTTACATTTTGGTTTTAATAGATTATTAACGTCCTTGGATTTGTCAGGATTCTCTAAACTTGATGTATGAAGAACCCTGGTATATTTTTGTATCTCGTGGCTTTTTTAGCTGGAGACTGTTGTACAGACCAGACTAGAGCACTGCCAGCTCGAGACTTTATTTAATATTCGTGGCTTGCATCTCTTAAATGGTGTCTGCTTGTTTGGAAATTTAGGAATGAATGCTAGCTGAATATTTCTAATGGTTTATTTTATATCTGTTACATTGCTCCCTTCTGTGCAAGATCCCTTGAGGTCCTCCTCACCCCCATGTCTATACAGGATTAGGCATTTCCACCAATTTATCTTGGTTCAAATTTCATTTCATTTCTTAGGAGTGACATGAAGCTGGAAATACTTGATTATCCATCAGTATTTTTGAAGCAATTCACAGTTACTGACAAATAAATTGAAGAGGTGTTGTGCACTTTATTTTACATCTGACACACGTGCTTCCTTCAGCTGTACAAACTAGGAAGGAACAGCAGGAATTGTTGGAGAAGCATTCCTGAGTAGCTCTTGTTGGAGAAAAGATTTTACTTCTGCTCAGTTCTTTGTATTTCCTTTAACATTTAATTACCCTGTGCCTCCCAGGGATGCTGAACAAGAGTGGAGAGGTCTCTTTAGCCTCTTGGAATATTACGTAGGTGGAGGCCCAGATTATAAGTGAAAGGTAGATTTTATTAGGAAAAAAAAAACCTTACCATGTTTGAAGAGCTGCAAAAGGTAAGTCAGGGGAGTGCAGTTTCATGAAGTAAAAAATAACATTTGGACTTTCTTTTTTTAAGTCCTTTAAATAGAATGAATGTTATCTGAATCTGGTAACATTGCAGATTTGAGTGGGGTTATACAGGTGTACAGCTTTTTGGTGTATTTCTAATGGGAACACTGCCTTCCCCCCCAAAAGCAGGTGCAGTGAACAGCCAGAGCAGGCCCCAGAGCCACAGCAGTGGGGAGTTCAGCCTGCTCCACGAGCACGAGGCCTGGTCCAGCAGCAGCAGCAGCCCCATCCAGTACCTGAAGGGACACACCAGGTCCAGCCCTGTGCTCCAGCACAGGACGCCTGAGGCGCTGGAGAGTCGTGGCAAACAGACCAAAACGGGCTCCCCTGGCAGTGAAGTTGTCACCCTGCAGCAGTTCCTGGAGGAGAGCAACAAGAGTAACTCCAGCGAGGTCAGTGAAGAGTATTTAACCTACTCAGTGTCCCATCCGTGGCCTCAGAATTAATGTGAGGCACAGTGAGTAGAATTCCTTAAAGGTTTCTTGGAACTGTCACACCTGCATTGAGAGGTCACAGGCACTGTCTCCTGATGCACTCTCCGGTTCCACCAGCAGGAAATCTGTGGAGTTTTGCAGCTTGACCCTCTGTGGTCCCTGGGTGTAGGGGAAAGTCAACTTGTACTGCCAAAGCTGTCGGGTGTGTGGGACACCAGGGCTCACTCCTCTTCTTCCAGTCCAGCGGCAGCTGCTGTCACATCTGTCCTGCATCAACAGCAAGGAAAATGTGTGATTTCATTCCCTGAGGAGACTCTTGTCTGCTTCAGTTTCATCTTCTTAACAGTACTGGGAAACAAAAAGTGACCTTGGAGCTTATTGAAATCTGAGAGGAGTAAGGTGAAGGGGATGTTTCTGTAAATCAGTGACAGTTTCTTAGAAGCCCCAAATCACCTCATCTCTGCTGGTATTCCAGGTTCTGCATCCCAGGTCCTTCAGCTCCGCCCAAACTCCTGTAGGATATCCTGCTGTAGGATAAAGCCAGCCAGTCACTGTGACTGGGGCCTCTCAGGAGTGAGGATCCAGGCTTGTCTGGGACAGGTGACACATCTTCTGGAGAAGATTCTGCATTTTTTGGTTAGATACTTAAAATGGCTCTCACCCATGGTCTCCCCGAGAAGGATATTTGGAGTTTAAGCACTAGACAATACTCTACTGGCAATAGGAAATAAAAAACCCTACTTAAGTCATCAAGGCAGGTCCACTGCTGTTCACAAATCCCAGAATCCTCTTCATAGCCTCACAGACCCATTCTGGGTGGAAGGGTATTCAAGGGGTTTCTTTCCAGTCTCCTGCCAGAGCGTTTCCCTAATGCCTTTAGCTGAATTCTTCCCCAGTTGTCTCTGGTGCCATCTTGAAAACAGCTACAGTCTTTCTTCACTGGGTCTGAATATTATTCACCTAAACTATTTTTTATGTAAGCCGTACAGAAAACTCCTAAGTCTGCATCATAAATGTTTGATACTGCTTTGAGAGCTGAGAAATTAAAAAAACCCAAATCTCGGTAAAATTGTTTTTCAGTTATGTCCACGAAAATCGCTGAAGAAAAGATAAAAATTGCAATTTCAAAACTTATGTTTTCTGTTTCCACAGATGAAATCTGCAAGCGAAGAGAACCTTTTAGATGAAGTGATGAGAAGCTTGTCGGAGTCTGCGGAGCTGGCAGGGAGGGAGAAGCTCCGAAAGCAGCCGGCGGCTGGCTGTGGCATCGTGAGATCCCTGAGTGTCAGGAACACGGTTGATTTCTCAGATGGACGATCCCTCAAACCAGAACAGCTGGTAAGGCCCAGCCTCCGGAAGAACGAAGATCTCTACTTCAGTAGCTCTCCAATCAAATTCACCCCCGGCGCCCAGGGGAAGGCCCGGTCTGTGAAAGAAAAGATCCAAGCGACTGTGACCCAGCGACAATCCAGGGACTGCAACCCCTACGCCACCTTACCTCGTGCCAGCAGCGTCATTTCCACGGCAGAAGGAACCACCCGAAGGACAAGCATCCATGATTTTTTGTCTAAGGACAGTAGGCCGCCCGTGTCCGTGGATGCAGCCCCGGCTGACAGGAGCGCTCCGCCCGGCTCCAGTGAGTACTCGGCACTGCGGGTGTCCTCTGCTTGTGTTGGCTGTGTGCCTGGCAGGGGGGAGCGTGGCCCCTCGCCCACCCCGCGCCATTTAGGAGCTGACTCCGAGCTTCCCAAGCCTTCCAGGACGGAAAGGCCAGGTTGTCGTGAGAGGACTTTGCCAAGCTCGGGTGTGTTCTGGGATAAAGCCGGCGGAGCTGGGAATGGCAGCGCGGGCTCCTTCGCTGCGCCCCAGCCGTTTTTATCCCTCAACACCGAGTTAGTCAGCAATATCAGTGGATTGCCCCCGAGATCCACCTCCAAAGCAGCTGATCAGGCAAACGTGTCGGCATTTAGGGCGGTGCTGAGGAGCCAGGACCAGCCTTGTGCTGCTCCAAAGGCTCAGGGTGACCCGCGGGCAGCTCTGAGCAGGGACCCTGTCCCTGCCCCCGGCCCCGGCGAGGCGCAGTCCCCGCTGCTGGTCTCGGAAGATAACCAGACCCTGTGGTATGAGTATGGCTGTGTATGAAGGAAAATTGTGTTATTAAATGTGTGTCTAACATGCCATAGAGGTGTTCTCCATGTCCGCTGGATGATGGGGAAAACTTCCCTCCGATGAAGGAATCGTTCCCGGTTTATCCACGGGGTGGTTGTTCCCTGCGGACGGCGCCTGTGGACTGTGGCATGTTTGAATGTGGAATTGTAACCCCACCAAAGTCTGCATGAAACATTAATTGCACTGTGTATATTTTGCATGCCTTTATAATACAAGCTCTATTTTTATTTGTCACACATTGCAAATATTTTGGTGTTTTCCTGTTGGTTACTGCTGCATGTTAAACGGAGCGCATGCCCGGAACGGCGCAGGGAGCAGCATTCCTGGGACAAGGACAGCACTGGCAGCGCTGCTCCGCCTCTCAGGGCTATCAGTAACACACTCATCATCTACTTGGAGGGAGAAAACCCTTTTTTTCCCCCCACTTCTTTGAAAAATGAGGTACTAATGGAAAAAAGCATTTGCAGAGATCTCAGTGTCTTCTTACTCTTCTCATTTATGCATGAGAAACAAGTGCCCAATACTCCAAATAATTCAGTGCCTCTAGTTTGCACAGTAAATATTAATTACTGTCCATACTGAGTAATAAACACACAGACCATTCATAATCCTAAACAGAAATGATAATTCTTACAAAGAGGTGATAAATAGTCACATAATACACAGCACTTGTCATGAAAAAATGACCTTTTCCACCTTTTCCTTTTGGTCTGCTTTGTCTTTCCAGTCATGGGTACAACTGTGGTGAAGTGTTTGGTTTTATCAAGGGTCAAATAACAGGCTCCTTGTGATGTATAGGAATAAAAAACTGTCTTGAGTATGGTGGAAATTCATTTTTTCCTGTCAATGGAAGTACCACTGATATAATAGAAAACAAGTGGTGAACAAAGTAACAGAAAATGGTAAATTAACACAGATAAATAAAAGAGAAAATAACAGAGTTGCTTGCAAGGTTATGGGAGGATATGAACACTTCAGCAAATAACTCCTTAAATTCCAGATAAGCACAAAAGAGAAATGTTGAAAAATAATTATTTAATGTGCCACTGTTTCTGCACCTGCTTGAAACTTCACAGTAGTAAATTTAAACAGAGTTTAAAATTGTATCAGATTTAAGGCTTTAGACATGAGCACTTCTTTGCAAGTGGACTTTGGTTATGCCAGTTGTGGGAGCTGAAATACATTAGAAAAAATTTGAGTGACATTATAGCTAGAGGGAAAATAATTAAAATTGAAAATATCTATTGAAAACAACAAATGCCACATTCTGTTTTGTACAGTTGCATTTATTCTGCCAGCAATTTTGTGGCAATCACAGAACCAGTGTGTGGGCTGAACTTTTAATTCCTTAGTACTTAATTAGGGAGGAGCAGTGAATCCATAGTTCCCAGAGGAAGAGCAGCAGATATCCCACATGGAGATCTGGGTTACATGGGATGGGAATCCCTGTGTTTCAGGAAGAAGAGGAGGATATGGAATATCTGTGGAGAATAAAATGGCTGTTTCAGGATGTGACACACTCCTTCCCCAGCTCTGCACCACTCGTTTTCACTGGGCTGATAAATCTCTCACTTCTCCCAGTGCTGGGCACAGCAAGCGGTCAGTTCTTGCTGTGTTCCCTCTGGAACTATCTCAGCAGCAAAAGCATGAGAAATCTGATCTGTAATCTTCATTTCACACACGTGTACTCTCACAGAGCAGGACCAGTGTTCTGGTCTTGGGTCAGGCCATTTGACTGCAGTTCATCTGCACTTGGGTTGGGATTAGGCTGGAGGTGAAGAGCGCTATCCCAAGCAATGTCACACAAGGCATTTTGCAAGTTATTTAACGAGTTACAATCCTAGCTCTGAGAGCACTTAATACAAACTCATCCTGTGCTGCCAGGGTCTGGCTTTTCTTCCCTGTGCCCTGCAGAGACACTGGTCAGAAGAAGGTGTGGAGCTGCTTTAGATCAGCTCTCCCTGCAGAAGTCTCGGGTGTGCTGTTGCCTCCTCCTCTTGCTTAGGTCACACCTTATACAGTCACACCTACAAAAACTTACAGTGTTGTCCCCAGCTTCCCTCTGAAACCCCAAGGGCTTTGGAATAGCCAGGCATGAGTGTCCTGGAGCCACTGGTGTCTCCAGTCTGCTGGAGCTGGAGACTAACCTTGTCCAGCTCAAGCCACTCTGCACTGGTTTATAAAATTGCAATGAATTGCATTTCAGTTCTGAGAGAATAACTTGTTTTGCTCCACTGAGTTCAGCAGCAGCAGAAGTGTTCTGCAAGAGAGTGTCTAATGGGTCCGGATAATGACTTACCAACATTTGCTACATATGAAAGAAAGAAAGAAAAAAAATGTCATGGACAGAAAGATATTTTTTTTTCCCTCCACTTCTTGGTCTTTAACAAGAAGTTTGTGGATTCTGTGTTCAAATAGTGGAAGGTTCCATGGGATTCTTTCCATTCCCAATCCCTGCTGCTCCTCAGCCATGTGCATGGCAGGCTGTGAAACACGTGGAGCCCTTGCTCATTCCTCGGTTCCTGCTGCCTTGGACAGTGCTAAGTGAGGACTTTGCATGATACCAATAAACACTAAATAGTAAGTGGCTGCTGCCCAGAAAGCTTTTGCTGTTCAGGCTCAGCCGATTGCTCACAGTTGAGGTTTGCCTGGCTCAGGGTTTGCTTGATGCTTTGCTTTCAGTGACTGGTGAATTCAGATGCTGCATTTTGCATGTTCAAGCTGTTGCATGCAAAGACAATTTTGTGGTTTGTGGAACTGAATGTGAATGTTTCTGTCGGTGTGCAGCAGGTCCAAATACCACGTAGGAAGTTCTCTGCTAGGGTCAGTCAGCTGTGATTGCACCTCACTATTGCTTTTTCTTTCCAATCATGCAGAAACATAAGGGCTGGTGTAGCTAAAGGTGACATATCAAGGACTGTGGCTTTAGGAGTAACACCTGGCTGTTGTAAATGCTGAGATGAATGTCAGTGAGTGTAGCTGAGCAGGCACTTGCAGTGAGTTTCTTCTGTCCCTCTCCTCTGTCCTTTCCTCTTAAAAACAACCAGAAAGTGTTTTTGTATCCTTTTGCTCTCCTAATGAGTAGAATGTGTTTTAATGCATGAGGGTTTTTTTTTCATGTCCTGATAAACACAATGAATAACCTGAAATGCTTTTCTCTGCAGATGTGGAAGCTATCCCAGAAAGCAGAAATTCAAAAAGCAGGTCTAGGGAGCAACAAAGCTCCTAATTCTATTACCCACTACCTGAGCTGTGGGCCAAGTGGTGAGTTTCCTGCCCAACCTGTAAATGAGATGAATTTCATTTACAACAAACTAACAGCATTCCATCTCAGCCCCAGAGCACATTGCATTAACCAGATGTAAATCCTGCTTGCTTACCTGGCTTCTCTTGCGCTCGCTCTTTAGGCCGGGGCCGGTGGCTCTCCAGAGCCTCTTCCAGAGACAGGGAACCTCATCCTGCTTAGCCTTTTGCCTGTAAAAATGACTTTTTTTATTTTTATTTTTCCAATTTCCTAAAGAAGAAAGTTCAAAGAAATCTTGTTAAGAAACAATACTGATGTCAGTTCTTAGACAGGGACAGGTAAATTTGAAAGAACAGTTGAACAAAACTCAGAGTATTCAGTACCCCACAGAATCTGCCTTTTTTTATAAAGCTTGGTTTTGGTGTTCTGTCCTCTTCTCAACTTCCCTGAGCCCCTGTGGTGCATGCTGTTAGTGCTGTTAGTGACTGAACTCTGTGTGTTGTGCCTCTACACCTGAAGCTTTTTCTTACATTCTTTTCTCTTTCTGCCTTTCGACTGAACACAGAGAGAAAAGTGTCCTTCAGTATCTCAGTGTGAAGCCTTTATATCTGAAGTAACAAGACAGCGGCTGTAGGAATCATTAATAAAAATTAAGGGAATTTTTTACATTCTTCGTGACTAGAGCAGGCAAGAAATAAAAACCTACCTACCTTCCTTCCTTCCTTGAATCAAGGAGCTCTACTGGAGTCTGCTGCCGAAAATGTGTAGATGGTCTTAGGAATTATTGCACATTGCACTGTTAAGATCTACTGAATAAAGGACAGTTCTCATCTCCCTAAGGACCAAGGATTTTAAGGTCTCAAGAATTACTCCAGGGAAAAAAAAACAAAACAAAACTTCTTTCATCTTCTGTTTTTGAAATTAGCCACTGATTTGCTTAAGCTTCTGCTAATAATTAGCCAAAAACCCCCAAAACTAGCAGTTTCTATTTACGTCTGTAAATCTAAAGGAAATGCTGTAGAGTTTTGTTCAAATGGACTGTATATACAGATACAAAAACCTCACAGCTACTGGCACTTCACTGCCTTATTTGGTTAGCATAATCTGCATGAAATTGCTCTTAAGAAAGTTTATGCTGATTTTTGTTGCATACTGCAAGAGAAAAATTTGTTTACATCCATGGAAAAGCTCGGTAACTAACAGAAGTGGGAGTCATGGGATAATGGTGTTATAGAGACATTGTTTGTCCTTTGTGTTTTTCACATTCCCAAGTTACTCTGCATATGTATGTTCAGATGTTTCTGACAGGAAACTGTCGGGTATGGTTTTTCTATAACTTTTATTTTAATATAAGGCTGTTTTCCACAAATGCCATTTCCAGGATAAGACTGTCTTACAGTGTTTGTGTATTGACTAATTTTTTTTTTATATTTTTTTTTTTTTACTGTTTGTCTTTTGTCACGAGCTAATTGTGGCTTAGGAGGTTTCTTGATGGCAAAAAGAAATGTAAATAATATCATATGCATTTTACAATCAGTTCCCTTTAAGGTTATCTTTTACTAGACACATTTTGTTCATTATTGATTTATATTAAAGTCAACAAATGTTATTGGTACGTTTGGTGGTTGCATATATTTGTCCGGAAAGATTTGCAGTGAGCTCAGAGGAAGTGGACAGGAACTGAGACCCAAAACGAGTTGTTCTATTTTATTAAAGCCAGTAAGCACATTCCTGTAAAGGAATTCATGTAAAGGGTTGAGTTCCCTCTGTCACTTCTGTCCATCAGGCAGGTGCACAATGTCTCCTGCAGCTTCCTCAGCGAAGGTGAGCCCTGCTGCTGAAGGCAGTTCCACAGATTGAAAAGCTCGAAAAAGCTTTCCCAAAAGGGGAAAATGGAGGTGTACGCAATAAGCTTTAGAAAAGGACATTTTCTGTTTCTTTTCTTTGAAATTAGTTTCTTCTGAATGTTTTTTCATGATAAAATGGGCTAAAATATCTATACCAAGGGCATGGTGGGTATGACAGACAATTTAAATGCCATAAAAATAAGGCAAATCTCTCTTAACTCTGAATGACAGCGTGTTCAAGCTCATTTCAGGGCCTGTGCCTGGGTTCTCCTCACTGTCTGCTGACAGAGGACTGATGCAGCTCGAAGCCCCCTGCCAGAACCATTTGTTACTGTTCCAGTCCGTGGCTTGAACCGAGCGATTGGAAGTGCAGTGCCAAATGCTGTTCCGACCCAAGCTGGTAGCTGTGTCTGGGGACGCTGTGGTGGCTCTGGCACACACTCCCGTGTGTGGAGCGCTGCTGGGCACACATCACTGCCCTCCCCACAGCTGCTTGTGTCCTTTCCATCACCCAGGGATCCCTGCCCCTGCCCCTGACCAGCTCAGCCCTTCTCAAGCTGCCCGCTTGGCTTTGCACAGAGGTTCCGTGCGGCGCTCGAGTGGCGCTCTGTGCTCTGCTGCTTCCCCCTCTTCTTCTTCCTTTCTCAATCTTCCCAGTCTGTGCATTAAAGGGAAGGAAAAAAGGAAATTGAACTTGGGAGCTGCTCAATTCCAGGGATGCACACGGCAGCTGTGGCCCCATGGACACAGGAGCACACAAACCCCCTTTGTACCCCAGGAATCCCAAACCCAGCACTGCCAGTTCCAGGTTACAAAGGAGGTTCTCATGCCATACAATGTCTGTGTTCTATTTACTTTTCGGATAGTCTCTGAGGATTTAGTAACATTCCCAACACCTTTGATTATTATTATTATTATTATTATTATTATTTCTAAATTTTGTCCAGGACATGATGCAGCCTAACAAAGGTGCTCATGTGTGATTTTTAGGGGTAGCTGATGATGTATATGTAAATAATGCTTTGATATTAATAAAACTGCCTTAAAGGAATGTACCAAGGTGTGAAACAGAACTTAAAAAGCTCTTATTTAAAACTGTAATTTCCTTTACATATTAATTTTTTTAATGTTTGCCATTGTATACATTTATTAATGATGTTATTAAAATGCCAAACCAAATAATTTTTATTCTTATTTTGTGTGTGTATATTTATACACACTTTTTCTGGAAACTGATGTTACTGGAAGGGTATTGGTGTTGTGGTGATGTGTGCAGTATTTCTTCTGGAAGGAAACTGATAAAACTGTAGCAGAATTTTTCTGGACCACGTGTAGTTTGTTCTGTGTGATTTGTGTAGAGCTGGGTAGCTTTTAATTGTAAACTATTTTGATACTATTATTAAAAAAAAAACAAAGAAGACACTGATTTCATAAGTAAATACAAAAAGAAATCATTCTAGATTTGCCAAATGTAGTATTTGAAGCCTGGTAGTTATTTTTGCTGAGACGAGTCTCAGGATCCCTTCTGAGGATAAAATTAGTCACACTTCAGGCAGTGCAGATTCCAGGATTGTGCACGTCCTTCAAACAATTTGTCACATTTAAAACATTCCAGATGTAAAAACCTTGGCAAGTCAAATCTAATACTCCTTTTTTGAAGTGATAAGGGATTTTGGGGTACCACAATAAGGAGTGAGAGTGAATGGCAGAGAGAGAGAGAGCAAGATAAACATTACTTTTAAAGACACATCCTAATGTATCAGTGTGGAGATAACTTAGTGGTGCATTTGTCAATCCAGAGCTCATTGATCAACCCAGTATTCCTAAATACCAGATGTTCCCTTCAGTCTGTAAAATCACGTGTACCTGGACATCTCTCTAGTGACTCTCCCTACAGCTGCAGCATTTTTTGGTGGCTTCCTTCCCTGTGGACATGACTCCCAGGATCGATGGGGTTGGTTTGTGTCGGTCAGAGGTGGAGAACCGAAACTGCTGGATGGTGAAGGGTTCTGTCACTAAGAGCTCTGAGAACAGGTGCCAGATCCTTCCAGATGAAGGAAACGGTGCTGAGGCTGTGAGTGAAGGAACTTGCCTTATTGTAGATGATTTTTCATACTCAGTTTATAATAATTGTTCATTCACCCAAGATCACAAATCCTTTTACGTGTTTTTAATTCACGCTTCTGTAGTTTTGGTGTCAGTTCATCCCAGCCTGTGCTGATGCTCTTGCCCTGAGGCATTGTTTGTAGTGACATTTTCCTTGAGCTGCATCCAAAAGCCTTTACCCCCATCACCTTCAGATTCCATCCCTCACTCACTGCTCCCCTGGCTTTGGGTTTTGGGGGGTGCTCCTTGCCGTGGGATGTTTACTGGACTTGAGGGAGTTTCTGCTGCTTCTGTCTTCAGCACACCATGACTGAAAAATGACAATCAAATGCATTTCCTGTAGTGTAGGTGAGTTGTTTTTTTAGGTGAAAAGAATAAAAAGAAGGCAATGTGTAGCAGGGCATAGATGGATGCAGGGACAGTCATTCTTTCCTGGGGGTATTGACAGGTGTTCTACAACTTGGAATTTGTTCTTTCCTAGTGATGTCAAGTTTAAACCTTCAAGGCCAGTCCAGTGCCTGGGAAATTCTAGTTTTATCCATTTACTGATAAAGACTATAAGAGTATTTAAATAATGGCTTTTCTACTTACTAGCTACTTAGAGGTAGATTGCAAAATGTCTTTTTAAGAACATTGTTAAACTTCTAATAACTGAAAGGCAATATTTTTTCTCATCAGATTATACGGTACAAACTTACATAATTGAAACAAATTAAAAAGGAGTAAGCCATTTTTTTTCAAGTTTTATTTGTAATGAGATTTTCCACCACTTTTGCTCTACAAAATCTACAAATAGTAGTAGAAAAATGAACTTCCTCTACTTAACGTCTTCATCAAAGTGTACGATGATGGGATCGTGGCCTGTCGACTTCACAAACTTCAGGAAGTCATCGGGGCTTAAGCCCATGGTTGCAGAATTTGTCATTGGATGAAAATACACCATTTCGTGGCCCCCTTGGAGCAAGGCAGCATCCAGCACCAGCCTCACATCTCCCTGGTCACAGAAGAGGGCGAGCGGCGTGGCACAGCCCTGGCCCACTTTCAGCTTTTCCAGCATGGCATTTTCATCAGCAAATCTTAGGTTTCCACTTCCAACACCCAGTTTTTTAGCCAGTTCGTTTAAATTGACCTGCCTGTTGTGCAGGACTGTCACCAGCCAGAACCCTTTCTTCTTTTTGTCTTTAAGAAACAGGTTTTTACTGTGACCTCCTTTCATGTGTTGGACGTGCGGCATCATTTCTTCGACAGTGAACACCTGGAAAACAGCACCGGTGTCAGACTCTATATCCCATTAGACTCCCAGTCACGTGCTGGCAGGTATCTTTCGTTAAATATTTAGAGAATACTGAATGTTCTACTCGGCCTAAAAGCTGTACCCTTTTATGAAGGGATTTTAACAGAACACGAATAAAATGTGACGAACTGCTCCGGCACACTTTGAGAATTTGTGGGTCGTGTGTGCAGCAATGTCTCTCTCTCGTTTTAAAGGCAGCGCTGGGAGCGCTCCCGTTTGCGACTCCACACACTTGGAATGACGTGGCGTGTAACTGGGAGCGAGTAAAAGTTTGGGAAGCATCTCGGATGCCGCCGAATTCAGGGAAAAGGAGTGAGCGAGACGCTCCTCACACCACGGGGGGAAAGGGGGTAGATCTGGAGGCAGAGCCAAACATTGTGCCAGGCCCTGCGAGAACTTCCACGTTGATACTTCCGCTAAAACCCTGCGCTGAGGACCTCATCCCGCCCTGATCCCGCTGGCACTGAGGGCTTCACCCGCGGGTTTTCAGGAGGCTGCCGTACCTGCGGGTGCTCGGCGGTGACGGTGGCGATGCCCAGGTCCCGCAGCCGCCGCTGCAGCGCCTCCCGCAGCTCGGCCGCCATCGCGCCCGCCGCGCTCCGCCCCTGCCGCCCGCCCGGCCCCCGGGCGGCTCCTGCGCCGAGCAGCACCGAAAAACACCAAAAACGCCTAAATCCACTGCACTTCCCCTCGTTTCGGCTAAGGAACGGGCCCCGCCGTGCGCGCCGTGGGGGTAAAATGTCTCCATCCCACCTGAGCCTCCCCTCCCGCGCAGCTCAATACATTTCATGTTCCTTAAAGCGATTTCCTTCTCAAACAGCGACATTAACGCGTTGTTTCCACGCGCATTCCGTGTGAACTGTTTGGTTCAGATGTTGGTTTCAGATATTTGTCAACATTTAACCTATTAATTTTTTTGTACGTGTCCTTACTCTAATTCCAGGTTCCTGGCGTGCTCCTTATATAGTTTTGCTAAAAACACTGCTAGATAAGAAAGTTACGAAAAATTCAAAGCTAAAACGAAAATCAAAATACATGATACACCCTAAAAACAAAAACTGCATCATTTGTAATTTTTTTTAAAGGCAGCAAATAATAATCAGGAATTACAACTAAGGGACAAAACCAAACATTAATGGCCACACAACTGGAAAATATTTCTGCAACCCAAACCATGTCCTGACCCATGACATCAATAATTATTTGTTTTCAGTTTGCCCTTGAGAAAAACGGGCAATCTGTGATAAGCTTTAAATTAAAATAGTATGACTCTGTGGTTAAGAGACATGTTAAGAGAGCCTTACACAGGAAGATTCCCAGGCAGGACCCAGTGGAAGATCAACTCAAAAAGCAGATTTGCAGTAAACTCTGATGATTGTTTCTCATGCTAAATCTATCTTTCCAATAAAGCTTTTTCAGGGCAGTCCCAGGATGTGTTGCCCTCGTAATGACCCTGTGCCAGCCCTTCCTTCCCAACCTGTCTTCCTGTCCTAGAACATTGACTGCTTTTAATGCACTTTGCACAACTTTTGGTATTTAATCTTTTTATTTTACTGTGGTCTGAGATGATTTTTCCCATTTTACCCGTGGAGAAACATTCAAGGGTCCTATGCATTTCAATGTGTCAGTACCCTGCCTTTGAAATGCAGAATGCTGCTTTTTTCCAACACTCAGCGCCAGAAATGATCGAATATTCTTGTAGAAAAGATACTGAGGGCAGCAAAACACGTAATGATGGCTCTTGCAAACGTGTGTGAATTATCATGGGTCCCACATTATGGGCAAAGAGTGTGAAATACACAGCTCAAATATATGTAAAGGAAATTACGATCATTACTCGTCACACATAATTTGCAGTGTCCGGACAGAGATCGCGACAGCATCAGCGCTGTCCTAGGCAAACCCATGGGATTATCTCTGCGTTTTACAACCAGCATTAACCAGGTAACATTAAGGATTTTTCCTTTGTAGAGCTTCCTCTTAGATTTTTGTTTTCTCTACTCCATTAAGTGGCTGTTTTAGAGACGCCAAATTAGAGAGGACTTAAAAATCAGACACGTTAAATCTTTAGATTGGATGTGGGTGGGAGGGCTTTGCAAAGATGAAGCTGCTGTCTCCTGGCACGGAGGAATAAAACAAATTTAAATGTGTAGATAGAGAAATAGATCGTTTTAAAAATAAGTTTCAGAACCCTAGAATGGGCATAAACTCAGGAAATCTGTCCCATGACGGGTATGTCCCTTCTCCCCTGAGGGTATTTCCCGCCTCCCGTGAGGGGATCCGTGTCCGCCCCCCCCTAGGGTATTTCCCACCTCCCGTGAGGGAATCCATGTCTCCCCTTACCCTGAGGGATTTCCCGCCTCCCGTGAGGGAATCCATGCCCCGCCTCTCCTGAGGGGATTTCCCGCCTCCCGTGAGGCGAGGCCCCGCCCCCGCCCGGGCAGCGCGCGGCTCGCAGCTGCGCCTGCGCGGTGCCCTCACACCCTCTCCCCTCGCGGCGCGTGCGCAGAGAGCGGCGCGCCCGGCGTGAGGCACGGAGGGGACGCGGGGTCTTTTCTCTTTTCCCTTCCCTCCTTCCCTTCCCTATTTTCCTCCCTCATTCCTTCCTTCATTCCTTGGGCTGTCAAGGCCGGGACCCTGGGGCTCGGAGAAAGGCGCTGGCCCCGCGGGGAGGGCGGGCTGCAGCTGACAGGTATTAATCAGCCGGAGCGATGGGCAGGGGAGCAGCAGGAGCGGGAGTGTTCCTCACCCTGGGAGCCGGGAAGGGTTTTCCGCAGTCAGAGCCTGGCGTGGGTTTCGCAGCTGTGAGCTGGGCCAGTGTCGCCTTGACCTTGTGTTGTTCGTGTGTGCGCAGCGTCTTGTGGCAGCTCCGCGGCTCCCTGGGTTTTGCCGATTCAGCCCCTTTAAGGTTCTCTTTAGGGTTAAAAACCCCACCAAAATAGCTGGGCTTGGTTGGTTAGTTTGTCATGTGCTCACTTCCTGCAGGTACCCGGGTGCAAGGGAGGTTTTAAAGGGCCCGCAGGCATTCTGAGAGGAGCCCGGAGCATTCCCTGCCTGTGGAGCTGCGGGTAGGGTGACACCAGGACACCTGTGAGAGGGGACATGGAAGGTACAGAGTCCATCCCTGAGCAGGACGGAGTCACAGAATGGTTTGGGTTGGAAGGGACCTTAAAGACCATCCTGCTTCACCCCCTGACATGGGCAGGGACACCTCCCACTATCCCAGGGAACCCCATCCAACCTGGCCTTGGACACTTCCAGGGCTGTGGCAGCCACAGCTTCTCTGGGCAGCCTGTGCCTTCTGAGCAGAGGAGAAGCTTGGGGAGGAGACTATTGTATAATTGGCAAAACGACTCAAACCAAAATTAAGATGGTTAAAACAAGATGTGGGATGATCTGACAGCAGCTTAATCGCTGAGCCAGGGCTTAGCCTCACAGAAGGTCTCTGACCACAGGACAGCACTGGTGTCACTGCCATGCTGGGTCTTTCAGTGGTGCTTTTGTCTGGAAGTGCTCAGGTAAAGGGCATTTTGCAGGTGTGTTTTGCTGGCTTAGAGAGGTAGCTGACACCTGGATAATTCTGTCAGTATAGCACGAGGAGTGCAAATGTGGGGGTTTTGTAGGAGATGTCAAAGAACCTGCAATGGGGGAATTAGTTTATGTCAGAGATCAGTGGAGAAAGATGAAAGGTCTGTAAGCTCTTAGTAGATCTATGTGTCTGCAGTGGGATAGTGGAGAAAGGTGAGGTGCAGAAGGAAATGGAAAAACTGGAACAGTTCCTAAATAATTTCATTTTTTCAGTGTTAAAAAGCCTGTTTGGAAACATAACATTTGTGCCTTGTGTTCCTGTCTGTTTTATCCTGAGAAGAAGGATCTTTGAGCCTCGAGGCTGATCTCAATGTGTGCTTTGTGTTTTCAGTGGGGAGATGAACCGAGGGTTGCTGCTGAGGTTTGAAAATCTGCTGCAGCTCCGTGGTGGCTGCTGGCAGCTGCGTGCCCTGTCCTCCAGGAAAGTTTGTGGAGCACAATGGAAGCCTGTGCAGTTGTCTGCACATCCTGTGGGGTCCCTCCTCCTGCATCCACAGCTCTGGCCAAAACACAGATTAATCAGTGCTGCCTTATCACAGTGCAGACATCTAGCCACAAAGGAGGTAATTAAGGGCATCCAGTAATTCCTGGGTTTGTGTGGAAGGTACAAGAGCTTGGTTTGAACATTTTAATTAAAAAAGAAAAGTGCTTTATTCATGAGTATAGAGAAGTTGTTATAAATCTGTAAGACAAAGTGTACTTAATGTATAATTTTTTTACCATTTCCTCTCAAATACTGACTTGGACCAGTAACATAAAGAATTTTTGCTAACACTGGAGGAGATAATTACAAGCAGAAATGGAAATGGTTTTACTGATTTTTGTCCTTGTTCTTAAAGATTAAAAATGAAAAAAATATTAAGGGTAGTGTGCTATATATTTGAAATGTTCATTATGATGTGTTAACTCATTCATTGGTTGTAATTAATTGGTATTACAGTAAAGAGGATGTGTTTACCTCATATGGCTTAAGACCATTGTCTTTTCAGTATTTTTGTTATTTCTTAGTTTATATTCCTGTGTATGTGTCTGATTCATGCAGGAGACAAAAAAGAAGAAAAAAAAGAATCCCCTGACAAGAGGTGAAGTGGAGATAAGGCAGAAGATGACTGTGGAGGAACTGGCACAAGCTATGGGCAAAGACATAGGTGAGAGTCTGCTCTGGGGTCTGAAACATCAACATCTGTCACACCCCTTCCTTCCACCAGTGGGAAAGGCAAAGATCTCTTCAGTGGTTTTAGTGGTTGTGGATCCATCCCTTGGGAAGGGAGGTCATGCCCATCCCTTGGGAAATGTTGGGAGACACAGTGCAGACTAAAGAGAAAAGAAGTTGGGCCATCCAAATTACCAGCCATTTAAATGTGAAGAAGCCAGGTCTGTGTGCCCTCTCCAGCAGAAAGGCCTCAGATCCATGCAGGCTGCTCCTTGTGGCTGGGATTCCCAGGAACTAAGTTATTCCAGAGGGAAAACGTTGCAGCCTGGTTTGTCAGAGCCGGACCCCTGTGAGTTAAGAACTCACGGCTAAAGAGCTTCAGCCCAAAATCCAGAGTAGGAGTAAGAATCTTGGGTTCAGGAGCAATTTGTGTTTCATTAGAACAGTCATTTGATTAATTGGAAGTGGCAAGACTTGTCTGGAATTGCTCCCTGTAACAATTTTTAACTACTACTGTGATATGTTCTGTGTTTCTACAACCAAAGAAATGAGCATGATATCAGATTTAACAAATTTCCTTCCTCCTTGAATTACTCCTTTGCTGTTTGTTTTAGAGGGGTTTCAGTTGTTTTCACTTTTGGAGTTAGTGGAAAGGTTAGCTATGAATATCTGAGTGAAAAATAAGACTGTAGCAGCTAACAGAGTAGTAATTTCCAGTAAATCTGCAAAATGTTCTTTTCTGCAAGTATGTAGATTAATGGCATTTTCTAGATAAATCTAACTAAAGGAAAACTGCTTGGTGAATAATTATTATTAGCACAAAGAGAATAATGAAAAAGTCTG